TTGGAGTTGTACGTCGGCCAGATAAAAGAATTATAAGTCACGCGTTCTTCTTCAAACTGAAAACCAGGTCAAGACAATTACAAGTGTTAAGTGACCAAAATTTTATAAACGAAATTGTAAAGGACACACCGCGATATGGTGTTAACAAAGTCGTATCTCAATATTTTGGTATCACAAACTTAGATATATCTGAAAATTCTTTACAGCAATACCTTTTGAGACTGAATTCTGAATTTACATTAGTCATTATTCTTGAGAAACTTGACGAATCTCTTATCCTACTCAAGAGACTGTTTCGATGGTCGATATATGACGTAATTTACGCGGCAAAAAAGACAAGAGACCACGAAGGCATCCATTTGAACGCTAGCCAGATAAAGCATCTAGAATATACGAACAAGCTCGAATATGCGATTTATAATTTCTTTAATAAAGAACTTGAAAGAAAGATCAAGAATGCTGGTGACAACTTTACACAAGAAGTTGCACAATTTAAAGATATACTTAGTCAAACAGATGCGTTTTGTCACACACCAAATAATACTGTACCATTTTACACATTTCCTGCATCGAGATGGGACGACAGTTTCTCAATAACAACAACAGACTGTTATGTTATCTATAAACAGGATGTCACACAGTTCAAAATTAATTATCCATTTAGTGTTAAAATTGGAAATCAATAACTGAATAAAATTGATTGGAGGATATCATAGATATCTTATCAAACATTAAAATGATTGTCTTGTTGAAATTGCACCTTTCTCAAAAATTTACACAAGCTTTATTTTGATTGTAAAAAATACATAGTGTTGCAATATCAAATAATTTTTTTTCTTTTTTTTCTGTTTTTATTAATTTTATTTTTTCAGACTAAAGATTGGCAAAAGTTGGGTTCTTTTTAATTATTGCATTATAACATTCTTACAATAAAAGTCTAGTTCTTAACAGAACAGTGTAATCAGAAAAAAAGTTTGCCTTAAATTGGTTTGGCATATAACCTTTTGACTAGATGAGCTCTCTCTAAAAAAGCAAAATCTACACCCGCCTTTATAATCATGAAGATAGGTGTGCTTTATCCTATCGTTTCCTTAAACCAAAAAATAAATATATTAAAACATTTATGGGTCCGTATAGATTTTTTTATAGTACATAAATTATAATTATGTAAATCAGACTGGTGTTCATTATTTATATTGGTTTTAAAAAAAGATAATTGTTTAGCGCTGACTTGCAATATGCCTTTCATCTATTTTTGAAATGTTAGGGAGAATAGATATTGGCCTATACATGTAAAATAATCTTACTTTGTCTCCCCCCCCCCTTGTATAAAGGTATAACACTTCGTCACCTTTAAGCAGTAACGGTTTAACTCCTATCAAATTATATAAGGAGTAATATAACCAGTTACTGCACCAATGTGAGGACTTGCTAGTTTCATTTTTCGGGTCATAGGCAATTGTTTCACATGTATATATAACACAGCTTGTTGTGAGGCGAACGTAACGAGAACATACAAATATATATCTACGTACATCTCTGATTCGTATTCTGGACCGTGGTAAACATATTCTCTTTTTCTGATTTATATAAATCAAAAATTGTATTAATCAGTTGATTACAAAATAAAAAAATGGAGAGGTATGTGAGTCAGACTACAATATGCATCTTATGCAGACAGTTCTCCCTAAAATAGGGGGTCAAGTGTGTTAAGGGAGGAAATGTCAGGGGACGAACTTGTAAGGACTACCCATTGGCCCAGGATGTATACGATCGTAGGGCAGCACAGACTGTGAGACAGGGCACGGGCGGACCGTTTTTTGGGATAGGGCGCACTGTGACTTGAGAGTTGAGACGAGGCGGGCCTATCCCAGCAAACAAAAGACGTTGTACCAACGTTGTACTGACGTTAGACCCTGACGTTGGGTAAACGTTGGCAGAAGGTTGGATTTGAAAGTTTTTTAGACGTCAGAAACCGACGTCTATACAACGTCATAAAATGACCTTTATCCAACCTTTTCTGACCATAATCCAACCGTTTCTGACCATTATCTGACCATAATCCAACCTTTTCTGACCATTATTTGGACATAATCAAACCTTTTTCTGACCATAATCCAACCTTTTCTGACCATTATCTGACCATATGCCAACCTTATCTGACCAAATTTTCTAACCATGATTTAACCTCGTTCAAAACTTTTGGAATATGATTTTTTTTTCATTTTAAAGCTCTTTAATAGGGTTAAAAATAATCATTCTTATGATTTTAGCAATTTATTTTATACTCGGAATCACAAGTACAAAACAAGAAATGTGGTACTATATAACAAATGCAAGGTTTACATAATATTTTTTGAACTATTTACCTTGACGGTATGTACTTTAATAACGCTTCATGTATTAATTAAGCATGTTAAACAAAATCCTTCTTGAATATTAACACTGACATTTTATATAGCAAACATCCATGCATGTGTTTTTTCTTTTATCACCACTGAACTGATCACTCTGAGTTTGGGATTTTCCAATCATCTATCCAACTCACTAAATGTATATTTGTCTTTGTATTTTATAACTGAATCTAGATCTGAATGTTAAATGGAACAATATTCTGAACATTTTGTTATAACTATAAATAGCAATGTTCATGTATCTTCATTAGTATTCTAGCTTCTTTCGTCCTCCTCCACTATGTCGATCTGGGGCATACTTTAAGCGTATCATTACCGTCTCCAACCTGAGATCTCATCACACTTTCTGAAATTAAAAATAATAAAATAATCAGTTACAAGTGCAAGAAATAAATCACTTTTACATATTATAATTAAACGAAATTCTAACAAAACTCTCAAACTACTTAAAAAGATACATGCACTTATTATTTTTAATTTTGTTTAAACCGTGTAGTTTCGTATACATACTGTATATTTCTATTAATTTTGATAAAAATGGCTTCGTAAAGAATGTCATTATAAAATCAAGGGTAATAAGATCACTGTATCTTCTATAATATTTTGAAATATACCTGTCACAAAATCTTGGTAGGTTTTCATTTTTCTTTTCCTCTAAATATTTTCATCTTCCTCATGAACTTTTGACACATGTTGAATTATCATACTTTTCACAATCTGAAAGACGAAATATAATCATTTTAGAATTTAATAACCATGTGGTGAAAGGATGTTTGTCTAATACATTAGGCAAAATCAAATTATTATTAATCTTAGTTAACTCATAAGCGCATGAAAAACTGATATAACAAATACCAAATTAATTCTACTCCCGCAAAAATTGATATTGTTATTTTTTATATTCAAAGTACTTTGTACAAATGCTCATACAACATCAAAGAAATTCACATGTTACTGTCATTTTTATAGATATCATCTCTGCCCAGCATGATCTGGTCTGCTAAGTGTATATAGGACAGACTGGCTTAGTGTAAAAACGTTTTATGATACGAGCATACAACTTGTTGATAAGCAGGCTAATTAACAAACTATTACTTTTATTGATTTATAACTATGATAATGTGTTTTCTGATTGATAATATGTTGTTTTACATTAATAAAAAGATAACTAGTCAAATACAATGTGCTTTCAGATATATCTTACAAAAGTCGTATCATTTACATGTATCAAATGCCATGAATCATTATCATAATATAAGAAACACATGGTATGCTTACAGTATGGGTAAAGTAATACAATTAACAACGAGTAGTTTAACAACTACACAGATATCAAAATCAAACTGCATCTGATACATGTGTAAATGACTGGCCCCTCATATAAGTGAAATTCATGTTGATAAGAAATAAGAGGAAATTTTATTTACCAGCATTTGAATAATATGAGTCTTACGTACTGCATTTAACTTTTTATTGATTTCAATTGCTAGGATATTTCCTACCATTGATTGTGCATTTATTTGGCATGGCGATATAGTGTGGGGAAAATGATCCGATTATACAGACTGTTCTATAGCAAATGATAAAGTGTTCTTACGTGGAAACAAAAAAAAATTATCTCGCGAAATCACGTGACATTAAGTTTTACCAGTCAAACATTTCATTGATCAAATAACCATCAAATCCATACAAACATGCGGTAAATTAGCATTGAAAAACAATATATAATGGTTGCCTACCTTTTTCTTTTGTTTGGAATACACAACTTTGTCTGTCAACCCGTCGTTTTTTGTCCGCCAATACAATTGAATTTCAAATCCGATGAGTCGCAAATTCGAATTTACTAAATAATTTACCACTATAAAATGAAGCCTTCAAAAATGATAACAACTTCATTGTTAATTATATAAACACTTCTTAGACTAATTCGAGGAGATAAGATATTATTTAAACGAAAATAGAGCAAATATATTTCATACTGATCTGCGACTATCCGTTTACACAGCGCCACCTATCGAATATCGTACGTTAGCCACCCACGTGATACTGTTGTTTTGATGGAGAAAATAAATATATAATGCTCCCTTTCTAAACTTAAACTTAAAATTCTCGCTGTTTATGCTTTCATTTATATATATATTGGTTTCATAAATTAAATTTACCTATTGTCAGATAACCGACCAAAACCCGACGTCGAGTCGACGTCAAAATGCAACGTCTGTTAGACGTCGGGGATTCAACGTCGATTTGACGTGGTATGAAGGTCACCGACGTCGCGACCAAAATTCAACGTTGATCCAACGTTGGGTCAACGTCGGGTGTTTGCTGGGTATATATGCATATTTTCAAAAAAATTAATAATTACTATTTAATTTTTTTATCTTTTCATATCAACATCATTCTAAAAATGTCGTATATTTATGATTGTCATATTGAACAGATTAATATTTAAACCGTTAAACTTCGATCTAGTTAAAGGGGACCACGGATTTTTTTTTACATTAATCCGTGAGGGGACGAAGGGGGACCGGGAACATGTGATTGGGCAATACTTTTAACGCACCCTGTAGAGATAAATTGATAGAGGAAATATTTACATTAACACCGGAAAATGGCGACTGCAACCGGAAGTTGCATGTGTTTAAGGAAAACAAATTTTTAAAAAGCTTTTCTCAACGTTGTTACGAGGATGCAAGTGTCTAACCCCAACAATGTCAAGATCTACAATTTAAGTGCTGGTAAATCACTACCAGAGGTAAGAATAAATGGAAAATGAATCGAAACTTACATAGTAGGATTTTTTTCCGGCGAACAGTTTTATCAGAATGGACCCACAGGCACTAGACACAAATTATTTACCTCTTCTATATGCTCATAATACTATATAAAAAAATTCTTTATATATAGTATTATGAGCATATAGAGGTAAATAATTTGTGTCTAGTGCCTGTGAATGGACCTGTACAGCTAGCCATTCCCAAATCAAAATCTCAAGGTACATGTCATGGTTCAGAACTGTTCACTATTTAGGGGAGAAGATGTATAAGCGGCCGGATAGCTCAGTCTGTAGAGCCGCAGAACGGTATTCCAAAGGTCCTGGGTTTCGAGTCCCAGTCAGGCTGCACATTTTTCTCACCCTGTGACATTTGGCGCCCAACGTGGGCGATGATGATATGGTTGATACTGTGAAGGATTCAAACAAAGATAATATTATGTTACCTGTAACCAGTCAACTATATTTAACCCTAGTACTAAAGTAGACGCTTTTGCATCTGAGCAGAGGTAATTGTGCATAATGATTATCTGTGAAAAGAAATGTATTCTTACATGTAGGCATGGCAAACATGATTATCATAATCATTATTCATCATCATCATTATATTTCATTACAGTGGCTTTCCGACAGACGAAAGAGATCGCTGCAGAAACAGGATGTGGGTATGTTTGAATCCCTTGTTTCATAAAGGTGTTTTAATAAGTGTCTCAAACCTAAGGTTACCTACATGCAGTGTTCAATCTAGAACAAATTTCCAGAGGGCACTTCGGGCCCATAAACTTTTTAAAAGGGGGTCATTTGAAAAAAGAAGGAGGCCAACACTTAAAATGAACATCAAATTCAAATAAGGTATTGTATCTTTTTAAGTTACTTGTTCACGTACCATATATAGACCAAAACCGGTTGCAAAATTCCATAACAATCAACTCAACTACAAAAAATAGCATTATTTGGACCTTTTTCGAGAGTTCTGTTAGCGTTGATGCAGGCTCAATTTTAAGAACTGATTGGTAAAGAAACAATGACATAATGTTCAAAGAAACATAATTATGAATCTTATTTAAATGTTACCAGGGATATTTGATAACAATGTTCAGTTTTTATTAATCAGCGCCCGATATATAAAGGAAAATCATATTTTGCAATAAGCTTATAAACTTACAATAGTCGCTAAAAACATTTACCCTTCTCAATATATCCAAGCTAAAAACAAAGTGTCAACAGGTGCTAAGACAATGTATATTGACATACCGGTACCTTTGATCTTTTGTCAGGGCAGCAGTTCTTACGTCATGCTTAAGATGTCTGCATTGATTAATGATATGCACAATGTTTAAGCGCTGACCAGCCAAAGACCAATCAAAGTTTATTTACTCAATTGTCAGACACTCCCTAGCCAATCGTGTTTGATTAGCTCCATCTTTAAGACTTTTTTAATTGGTTGAAGGCGTGTTCGTAATAATTTATGCACACCTCTATAATTAACTCCCACTTTTTCACAAATATATAGTTTTTTTCCTCCGGAAAGTTATTGAATATTAATTTGTTTTGACCGTTAAAAAACTATAACTACACGCACGTATTGGATTATCTGTGACGATTTGTTTTGTTTTTAAAAGTAAGTAATAGTTACGGTACGAAGAACAGGTCTGCATAGTAATTACAGACCCGGACCGAGAGAGCGTAGCGATCAAGGTTTTAAAAGGGTTACCTAGTGCGGTAACTATCTTACCAACATGCTCTTGTTTTTCTATACAAACTTCAGTTTTGAATTCAGTATTTATTAATATTATTCACAAGAAACTTTTTATGTACTTAATCAGGTTTAAGATCATTAATGGCATTTTCTATGAGTGCGCCCGTCGGGCCCACAGTTGAATTTGTTTTACGCCGGCGGTCTTTTCAGGGGGTCAATGGCGCAATGGCGCGCTCTAGATTGAACACTGCTACATGAAGAGCTGTCAATGATAGAAACAATATCGATGTATTGATATTTGCAGGTCTGTAAGTAATCGGTACACATTTGAAACAAACATACAAATATACAGAAGCAGGTGTCCATGTCTAACACTATGCTGTCATTATGAAATGGTAATATTTCATAACAGTGATGACTAAAAAATGGTCAATTTTTATAAACAAGACATATAATGAGTAGAATATTAATTTTACAGAACAGGCTTGAATATGAATTACAGACAAGTAATTAAAAATAAATATTGAAATATCAGTGTATCTTTGATATTAATTTTGTGATCCGATATTTTCGTTATGCTATGCACTGAATTGACAACTCTACCAAAATATACAATATGTATAATTTGAATATATTATAATAAGACTCCAGTGTTGCGTCTAGAATTTCAAAATTATGGGGGATTGTCCCCCACTCAATTGAAAAATGTGGGGGATTTGAAAAAAATGTGGGGGACATACATTTACCTTACAATATGACATACCGAAAAGAATTCATTTATTTTACGCTCAGGCATTTTTGACAGTTATCGTCCGCTCAAAAACGGAAGTAGAAAAAATAAAATATTGACGAATACTACAAAACACACGCGAGCAGGGCTGAAAATTAGCGGTCGCCCATGGCGACTAAATTTGTAATTGGGCCACCAAAAATTTCAAAATAGTCGTCCAGTCGGCGACTACAAAAAAATGGGCCGTAGATTAAATTATCCGCACAATAAACGAAAATTAAACGGCGCGCAACGGATTTTATCCCTATCAATAACGTCACAATATGGCTGCGTCCATAGCGTAAAAAAAAATCACATTGTCCGTGGAAAAATGTGGCGGTTTCTTGACGGTGTTAGCGAACCGAAAAAGAAAAAGCTATCGGCCGATGACAAAAGAAAGTACTTCAATGAATATGAGAAAAATAAACGTTCAAGATCGTTCCTACTGGACTGGAAAAAGGAAAGACCGTGGCTTGAAAACACCGAGAACGGAATGAAATGCAGCTATTGTAACGAATATGAAAGCAAACGTCAATCTTTGTTCGTTCAAGGTTGTAAAAGTTATAAAATTGAAACAATCAAATTACATGAACAGTCCAAATCCCATCTTAAGTGTCAGGCTTGTTATCATGCAAAATGTGTGCCTGCAAGTATGTCGGAAGCTGGGAAATTAGTGCAAAAGTTAAATCATGAAAATTTCAAGAAAATGGCCATTTTATTTAGGACAGCGCACGCCCTTGCTATACATAACCGTCCGTTTACTGACTTTATATGGATGTGTGAGCTTGACTCTGTAAAAAATGTTAATGTCGGTGAAACTTACAGAAATGCAGCAGCAGCTAAAACTTTCATATACTATATTGCTAAAAATGAAATTACAAAAGTGTCATCACGCATAAGTACATCAAAATTTCTCTGTATTATTGGAGATGGGAGCACAGATGCCTCTGTTAAAGAGCAAGAAATGTGGTTTGTCAGATATTGTAGAGAAGGCATCATATCTACTGACTTTATAGGTGTTGATAGCTGTGACAAAGCATCTGCTGAGAATATTGTAAATGGCCTACAAAATGTTGTTCAAACTAATCTTTCTTATGACTGGAATAAATTTCTTCTGAAAACTGTTGCCATATCATGTGATGGTGCCAGTGTAATGGTTGGATGTAAAGGTGGAGTTGGAGCTATTTTAAGAAGACAACAGCCTGATATGATTACGATCCACTGTATGGCTCACCGCCTAGAATTATCCCTAAAAGATGCTGCCAAATCAGTGAAATTATATGAAAAAACTATTAGTGTCCTTGCAATGGGACTCTATTATTTTTATCATAATAGTAGCCTAAATAGAGCAATGTTGAAAAGGAGTGAATGTGCGCTGAAAACAGATGATGACAAGGGCTTATTGCTACCAAGCAGGGTTGGAGGTACAAGGTGGATTGGGCATACTGCATTGGCTTTACAAAATATCACAGTATCCTATAAATATATAATTAGCCATCTTGGACAGGTACAGTCACTTCAATAAATTAATTATTTCAACAACTAGAATTTTTTAAAAGTTATAGAACTACAAAGTTTGAATAACGGTTAAACCATATAAAATAGTTTAGCAAAAAAGTTAAAAGTTCTTCGAGATATTACGTACAAGATAAGATGAACAATAATAAAATTAATATTTTATCAGAAAACTATTTTTTGCTTTATTGTATATAAGTAACATATCAGAATATTTTTCTCATACTTACCAATAAAATTCAAGTTTTATTCTTCTATTTTGTAATTTTTAATTGTATTTTATTGTTTAACATATCTTTAATTATAGACCAATTCACTTTACAAGACCTAATCTAATGTAATGATCTTAATTTTTCTTATATCTTTCAGTTAACAGAACCATCTGAACGTGTGTCAACAGATTCACGGGCCAAAGCCTATGCTTTTTTGAAACTTCTTCAGACAAAGAGCATTATATATTTCATCTATTTTTTGATAGATGTTCTAAGTGTCTTAAAAAGATTGTCACTAGGTGTCCAAAACAACCAGTGCTTGATCTCCCAACAACACTCGACTATAGAATCATGTTGGAAGTTCTTAGAGGATACAAAACTAGGTAATTTATAAATTATAGGAAAATAGTTTTACAGTAATCTGTTTAATTTAATCATATGCCCCACTTAAATCTCAATCAATTTACCAAATATTCTAAAATTGCTAAGTCGAAATCTAGCCATCATTATCTTATTAACTGTTATAAATCTGAAACATTGTATTGTTAAATGTGCTTTAAATTGCATATATAACTGTTTTATACCAGTGATGGACCCAGTCTAAGAAAGATTATTAACAGCAAATTAGAATTAAAAGGAGATGAAAGAGAATTTAATTCAGCAAGGAACAAGATCATAGATCAGATAGAAGCAGCACTTTTGCGAAGATTCTCTGAATTTTCATCATTAGGTGTGATTAAGGCTACAAGAATAGCAGATATTTTATCATGGCCCAAGTCTTGGGAAATGCTTCAAGGTTATACTGAGTTTAAATGAGCACTGATTGTTGTTTACTTTATTTATTATTATTTGTGTGATTGTTGATTATTATTGTTATTTTTATTTTACTTTTTTTGTATTTAATTTTGCGTTGTTAGTGATCTTACTGATTCCCTTTTTATTTTCTTTAAGTTTGTGACTGTGAATTATTTATTTTCTTCAACTTTACATACATGTCAGTATTTAAGGAAGATTCAAATAAATAATAAAATTATATTATTTAATTACAAAAGACTAAAGCTTGGACAAGTGCAATTTTGTGTAAGTGTTACTATAATAGCAAATTTATATTATTGATATATAGGAGTGTCATTATTTATAAATCAAATTGACAAAAAATGAAAATTCTTAGAAAGAGAAATGAAATAGTAAGATAGGGAAAATAAAGTACATTCACACTATATTTATATACTGATAGTCTGATAATTTGTGTTCAAATAATTGTTATTCTGCTTTCAGATTTTGGAACAGAAGACTTGCTAACTTTAATCAGTCATTTTCGTACTTTATTTGAAAAAGCTGGGTTGAACTGTGATGAGATTGAGATGGAGTGGATCATGTTGAAGAAGGCTATTTGTGAAAAGTAAGTTAAAGCTTTTATATTCAAACTGAATTTTCTTATCATTCATATCACTCTGTTGATAAAAAATATTAGTAATACAGCTAACTTCAGACAAATAAATGTTACAATTTAAGTTTAAATTACTTCATAAACTGCCTGTTTCAATGAACAATCTGAGGATAGTTATTCTGCTAAATTAATTCTAACTTAGCTCTTACATGTGATGTTGAAACTTGATAAAAAAGCAAATAAATAAAATGAGATTAATATAATACAAAAACTAAGATTTTCTTTTTTGGTATTTCTATTTTAGCACAGCCAAGTTTGAATCATGGACACAAGTAAATGAAATATATGGACACCAGTATCGGAATATATTAGATGTAATGGATCTTATTTTAACTATGAGCCCAAGTAGTGCTGAAGCTGAAAGGGGATTTTCATTGATGAAAGTTCTAAAAACAAAAATCCGATCAACATTGAGTCAGGGTAGTTTAAATGACCTATTAATTACCAAGTTACATGCTCCTAAAATTGGAGATTTTAATCCTAGTGAGGCTGTTTATCTATGGAACAGTGAGGGAAACCGCACTAAAAGAGTGAACTTTAAAGACATGTCAGCAAGTAAAAGAAAACCAACTGTGTTTACTCAAACACCAGATGTTGTTGTTCCACAAGAGACTGAGAGCATTGTAATGTCTAAGCCAATTCCTGTTTCAAAAGACTTGGAAACTGGTCCTGAATTAGACAAAAGCAGTACCTCTATTGTTTATGAGGAATCCCAACAATCCAGTGTTTCTGTAGAGGTTCAAACAGATCAAATTCCTTCTGTTGAAGCCAGCACACAAACATTTGACAATGAACTTGTGAGCAAACAGTATAGATTTTCTTCAATAACATCAGAGGAACAATCAAATAAGTACTATTCCTCATCTGATGAGGCCAGTGACTATTCTGATATTGACTCAGACTTGGAGGAAGATATTGTGTTTTCAAAATTGTTGGACTTAAATACTAGAGACTGATACAGATAGATATTTAACACATCATAACTAAACAATACACAAATAAAGAACTCTGTTTCAGTGATATGATTTTATTTACAAAGTTTTTAATTAAATTAATAATTTTCATAGATTCAGAATATGACTTGTTATATTAACTCGATAAATTGTAGGTCCACTAAAATATTTACTGGGCCACCAAAATTTTCCAGTCAGTGGTCCAGGTGGCCACCAAGCTTAAATGGTTAGTTTTTATCCCTGGCGAGATGACTCAGTCGGCTGCTACACGCGATTTAGTACATATTTTAGTCATAACCATGAGTGAAAACAAACATGGCTGAAGTATTTGTGATAGTTTTTAGATACGATGAAGATAAACTGAATAAAGTTGAAAAGATCGTCAGATGCGCGACTTGGCGCGCACTGATTTCATTAAAATGCTCAATCTGCATAAAAAATGCGCAAATCGCGCAATCGCGCGGCCTAGATGCAACACTGAAGACTCTGAGAAAAAATTTTATACTGAATTAATTTTAATTATGCTCCCCGAAAAAATTTCGGGGGAGCATATAGTCGCCGCCTTGTCCGTCCGTCCGTCCGGCCGTCCGTCCGTCCGTCCGTCCGTCCGTCCGTCCGTCCCCTTTTCTTGTCCGGGACATAACTTTGAAACAACAAGAGGTATCAACATGAAACTTTGTAGGTAGATAGATCTCATTAAGTAGGTGTGCAGTGCACAAGAACCGTAACTCTGCCTTGCCTAATTTTTGAATTATTCCCCTTTGTTTATTTTTACACTTTGAACTTTGTCCGGGACATAACTCTAAAAGTATAAGAGGTATCAACATGAAACTTTGTAGGTAGATAGATCTCATTGAGTAGAAGTGCAGTGCACAAGAACCGTAACTCTGCCTTGCCTAATTTTTGAATTATTCCCCTTTGTTTATTTTACACTTTGAACTTTGTCCGGGACATAACTCTAAAAGTATAAGAGGTATCAACATGAAACTTTGTAGGTAGATAGATCTCATTGAGTAGAAGTGCAGTGCACAAGAACCGTAACTCTGCCTTGCCTAATTTTTGAATTACCCCCCTTTGTTTATTTTACACTTTGAAATTTACCGGGACATAACTCTAAAAGTATAAGAGGTATTAACATGAAGCTTTGTAGGTAGATAGATCTCATTGAGTAGAAGTGCAGTGCACAAGAACCGTAACTCTGCCTTGCCTATTTTTTTAATTATCCCCCTTTGTTTATTTTACACTTTGAACTTTGTCCAGGACATAACTCTAAAAGTATAAGAGATATCAACATGAAATTTTGTAGGTAGATAGATCTCATTGAGTAGGTGTGCAGTGCACAAGAACCGTAACTCTGCCTTGCCTAATTTTTGAATTATCCCCCTTTGTTTATTTTACACTTTGAAATTTGTCCGGGACATAACTCTAAAGGTATAAGAGGTATCAACATGAAACTTTGTAGGTAGATAGATCTCATTGAGTAGGTGTGCAGTGCACAAGAACTGTAACTCTGCCTTGTCTAATTTTTGAATTATCCCCCTTTGTTTATTTTACACTTTGAACTTTGTCCGGGACATAACTCTAAAAGTATAAGAGGTATCAACATGAAACTTTGTAGGTAGATAGATCTCATTGAGTAGGTGTGCAGTGAACAAGAACCTTAACTCTGCCTTGCCTAATTTTTGAATTATCCCCCTTTGTTTATTTTTACACTTTGAACTTTGTCCGGGACATATTTCTTAATGTATAAGAGATATCAACATGAAACTTTGTAGGTAGATAGATCTCATTGAGTAAGTTTGCAGTGCACAAGAACTGTAACACTGTCTTGCCTACTTTTGGAGTTATTGCCCTTTGTTCATTTTGACACTTTGAACTTTGTCTGGGACATTACTCTAAAATTATAAGAGATATTAACATGAAACTTTGTAGATAGATAGGTCTCATTGGGTGGAAGTGCAGTGCTTAAGAATCATTACTCTGCCTTGCCTTATTTTGAAGTAATTGCCCTTTGTTTATTTTTACTTTTTGACTTTTGTCCTGGACATTACTTTAAAACTATTAGAGATATCAACATGAAACTTTGTAGGTAGCTAGATGTAATTGGATAGAACTGAAACGCTTCAAGAACCTAAACAAAGCCTGGTCTAATTTTGGAGTTATTGCCCTTTGTTCATTTTTTTTATACTTTCCTGTGTCCAGAACCTTCTCGGGGAGCATCACCCGGTTCAACCGGTTCTTGTTTGATTATGTAGGAAGCTAAAAGCTTATAGACACTCTAATGAATCTGTTTCTGGAATCAACTGTGCAATGATTGTAAAGTTTCTTGCTCAAGGAAACAACAGCTTGCCCCTGAAGGGGTTTGAACCTATCCAGCTAGAGATCCTTAGATCACTAGTCTGACGCTTTACCTAAGGATTGCTAGTGGCGTGAAATAAGGCTCATGAAAATGTTAAGTTTATACTGAATTTATCTGTGGGCAACAATTCATTTTTCCACACATTAGTTAATTCTGTTTGTTTGGTTTCAGACATACAGCGCCGAGTTGAGCTCATCCAAGACTTTGATATGCCAACTGTCAGTCATTGTGTACAAGTATCTCCAGATGGGCAATACATATACGTAGCTGGTTAGTATATTTATATTACTTTTGTTTTGTACATGTAATCATGATTACCAAATTTAGCTTTTCATTCTTAACCTGAGTCAAAAAGTGGTTAGTGTTTGGTACAAGTATAGAGTCAGGCCAATCTGAAGTGTTTACCATGATTAATACTTTTAGTAGTTTCATTCTTGTATTTTGATATTGAAATCCCTGAAACTTTGAGTGAACTGCTTTACAAGTTAGGAGTGAAACAAATTCAAACAATTACTCGTGATAATGCCTGACCCTGATTCAGAGCTGATGAGTCGAGTCTGGGTTCATCATGGTCGTATTTCAATTCAATTCGTTGTCATCATTTCCACAAAAATATTTTTTTCTAATATTTGACAAACCTTTTCAAGCATTTCTTTCATTTGTTACGTGTTCGCGCTTGCCAAACAAAACACTTGTAAAAGTAAACACTGAAATGTTTTGTTAAAAAGTGGAAGACATACTAGAAATTATTGACACTCCAAGGTCTTCTTCAGTATAGTTAAATATTGATCCTTAAGTATTCCTGATAGAAATATTAATGTTAACAAAGCCTGAGTAATCAAATTAACATTAATCCAATCACAAAGCAATATCAACAGAAAGCTGAATCGGTGCACCCCTATTGCAAGTCCGTATAGAAATGTAAGAGGTTAAGGGTTAATAAAAGAGATTTTTATCTCGGTAATAAAGAAGTATTTTGACAGGTACTTACAAGCCACGGGTAAGGTGCTACGATGTTCAACAGATGTCGATGAAGTTTGAACGAGGCCTTGATTCAGATGTCGTACAATTCCAGTTCTTGTCAGAAGATTACACCAAGGTTAGTGAACATGGCAAAAAATATCATAACAACTTAACACTATGCTGTGAGGTGAATGATAGAATTCACTGAGGTGGGAAGCAATCTGTGGGAATACTAGTTTTACTAGGGCATTGAGGGGACCTCTTAAAAAGTCGAGTTAGGCCTATCTGATTTAATTCTATATTTATCTGATGTTTTTTTACTTGAAGATGTGGGCTTCATTTAACTTGGTCAAATCTTCAGTCTGATTTGGATATTCAGATATCCATACAACTTTCCTAATCTAGGGATATAATTATAGATCTTTCAGATGTACTTTTCAGGCACATAACATCACTTTAGTGCAATAACTGGTTAACTTATACTAAATTTAGAAGGACTTAACCTGTTACTGCACTTAGGTGGCAATAAGCTTTTGTCATTTCGTGTTTAACCATAATATGATCATAATCAAAAACTCTTAACCAATTCTGACTTAGAAATGGTCTTCCAAATGGACAAAAAAAAAACCAACAATAAAATACTACATTGTATTCAGTTTGAAGAAAATGAAAAGTTTGTGTTGAAAGGTCACAAGAGGGCAAAGGTCAGATCCTTAAACCATAACATAAATTAGGAGCTGATTTTAATCAGATTGTAAATTGGGCCCAATTATTGCCACAAAGATGACCAAAAAAATCCCATTAATAGCTGTGTTTTACCTTTTTCAGATAGCATTTTTACAGTGTGATCGCTACATTGAATTTCACTCGCAGTTCGGCAGGTATTATAGGACAAGGATACCCAAATATGGACGTGACCTGGCATATCATAGTGCGAACTGTGACCTTTATGTTGCGAGTGTAAGGTATGGAGATGCAAACTATATACAATTCTTACTCTATTATCCGAAAGAACTAGATTTAATACATGTTTACATCACTATATATAAATAACACACGGGCTTATGGGTAAAAAACAGTAAAAATATCATCCCAGGGAAAATACTGTTACCTTCAGCTAATGTCTGTAACAGTACAAATTTCTTAGTCACATGATACACTTGAATTACCCTCAGCATATGGGAAATTAGCATTACACAAAAAGGGAGGGGTAATAATATTGACTAAATGTCAAATGATATCCAAATGATATGGACATAATTTTGTGAAGTAACAAACAAAATCCTAAATATTATAAGATTTAGTAAATGCCTTCTGAATGTCCTCTCAAAGTTTGAGGGAAATTGTAATATTAAAATGCAAAAACATGATTAACCAACAGTATCATTTTTAGTTTTGAATAAGATTTTGTGTTTGTGCACCATAACATCAAACAAAACAAATAAAAAGAAGTTAAAATATTTTATACTCATTTGACCAGTTGTCATTCCAAAAATAAGCTTAATAAATACTGAAACCAACAATTATTGGAAACGAGAAGAATTAAAAAATGATACAATTATTGATTGCTTACTGAAAAACACAATGGCTATGGCATTCCTAAAGGAGGTTTTATAATATTTCCATAAGAAAATCATCAAGTGCTTTACAAATGATAAGAATAAGCTGGTGATCTTATATTTCATAACATAAAGCAGACTTTTATGCAAATACTTTTATTATACCCCCACAAACGAAGTTTAGGGGGGGTATATAGGAGTCAGCTTGTCGGTCGGTCGGTCCGTCTGTCGGTTGGTCCACATCATGGTTTCCGGACGATAACTAGAGTTATGAATGAGGTATTGTTATCAAACTTGGTATATAGCAACCTTATGTGGAAAGTCCGGTTGGTATTGCATTTGGACCCTCTGGCCCCGTGTTCACAAAGATTTAAGGATCAGGATCAAGATCAGGATCAAATTTAAAAACTCTAATATTCTTCATTGTTTATCCTCAAAGATTAAATATCTAATATTAATTTGATAAAACTAGACTTGCAGCAAGTTTATGAAATTTTAGAATAAATTTATTGTCATTTTTGCAAGATACGGGCATTTTACAGTTGATCCAAATATTGATCCTGATCCTAAAATTGATCCTTATTTTGATCTGAAAATTTTTGTATTTGTTTTGTTTTTTGTTGATTTTATCCCAAAATAGTTTGGTTTCTTTGCAAATCAGCAATATTTTACATTTTGAATATATACCATTCAATTCTATGAAAGCATGATTAATTTTAGTAACATAAAACAATGAAAATAAAATCAGGATCACTTGATCCTGATCCTGATCTTTTGTTAGTGAACACGGGGCCTGGGGTCAAGGTCAAGGTCACCGTTACTAAAAATAGAAAAATGGTTTCCGGACACTAACTAGAGTAAGGAATGAGATATTGTTATCAAACTTGGCGTATAGCAAGCTTATATGAAAACCTGGGTTGGTATTGCATTTGGACCCCCTGGGGTCAAGGTCACCGTTACTAAAAATAGAAAAATGGTTTCCGGACAATAACTTGACTTAGGAATGAGATACTGTAATCAAACTTGGTGTATAGCAAGTTTATATGAAGACCTGGGTTGGTATTGCATTTGGACCCCTTGGGGTCAAGGTCACCGTTACTAAAAATAGAAAAATGGTTTCCGGACAATAACTTGACTTAGGAATGAGATACTGTAATCAAACTTGGTGTATAGCAAGCTTATATGAAGACCTGGGTTGGTATTGCATTTGGACCCCTTGGGGTCAAGGTCAAGGTCACCGTTACTAAAAATATAAAAATGGTTTCCGGACAATAACTTGAGTTAGGAATGAGATATTGTTATCAAACTTGGCGTATAGCAAGCTTATATGAAGACCTGGGTTTGTATTGCATTAGGGCCCCCTGGGGTCAAGGTCAAAGTCACCGTTAGGAAAAATAGAAATATGGTTTTCGGACAATAACTAGAGTAAGGAATGAGATATTGTAATCCAATTTGGTGTAAAGGAAGCTTATATGAAGACCTGGGTTGGTATTGCATTTGGACCCCTTGGGGTCAAGGTCACCGTTACAGTGTTACTAAAAATAGAAAAATGGTTTCTGGACAATAACTAGAGCTAGGAATGAGATATTATTATCAAACTTGGGGTATAGCAAGCTGGTATGAAGACCTTGGTTGGTATTGCATTTGGGCCCCCTGGGGTCAAGGTCACCGTTAGGAAAAATGGAAAAAATGGTTTTCGGACAATAAGTAGAGTTAGGAATGAGATATTGTAATCTAATTTGGTGTATAGGAAGCTTATATGAAGACCTGGGTTGGTATTGCATTTGGACCCCTAGGGTCAAGGTCACCATTACAGTGTTACTTAAAATAGAAAAATGGTTTTCCGGACAATAAGTAGAGTTAGGAATGAGATATTGTAATCAAACTTGGTGTATAGCAAGCTTATTTCAAGACCCCAGTTGTGATTACAATTAATTGAAATATTTCCTGTACACAGTTGATAGTTTGTGTTCAAATTTTTCTTCAGACTACTTTTTTTTTTCATAAAGTCAAAGTTGCAGGTTGGAGTATTAATCACCTTCAGTCATAGGTCTAGTTAATGTCAGAAAAATTTTGTTAACTGGTGATTTTTAGATATTAGGAACTTGCTAATGTTTTCATGTACATTTTCTTGACATAATGTTTCACATATATCCAGAATTATTTACAGATGCGTCTTGATTGACCAGATTTAAAAAAATAATAGTTTGTGTTAAGATTTGTTTACTCTCGCCACCGGAATAATTACCATATGGACAAGCATATAATGAAATTGCTGCTTAAAGTATATGTTATGAATTGGGAAACGCAGTAACACTATATCATTATTTTTTAATTCCAGTCCGGAAGTATACAGAATTAATATGGAACAGGGTCGATTTCTCAGTCCGATAGTGACCGACGCACAGGAAGTGAAATGTTGCGAGTTCAACGATTATCATCATCTGCTAGCTTGTGGAACAAGAGAGGTAACTCTGATGATGCATTCTCAGACATTTTTGATGTTTTTTACTTTTTGAATTTTATGACCTTATGTCATGATATTTCTGGAATGTGTTTATTATATATAATATTTGTAATGCCAAAATTCTGCATATTTTTATTTCATTGTGCTAACTATTTCAGGATAAATTTTTTTTTCAAGTGTGCTCTCAGGTTTATATTATGAATCCTTACTGATAAATATTCAACTAGGATTTCTTTTTCCATATATATACCTTAAGTATTGAAGTTATATAATTATTGGCTGTGTTCAATACATGCTTTTCATTGCCAACTATTTTGAGTATTTACATTATTAACTTATGTTTCGTTTACAGGGTACTGTAGAATGTTTTGACCCACGAGTAAGGACAAGAGCTGGAATCCTGGATACCGCACTCAGCAGTCACATTGAAGATCTTGAGTAAGTCACTCTGTATTCACTTTTATCTGTTGTAAATAAGTACATTCAAGGTCATGAGAGTTCAGTGACTAAATGGCCATGTCTGACAAGGTTACAAGGTTTAGTTTGCTGATTTGCCATGTCTGAAAGGCCATGTTGTTTTCATGGCTGATCTACAGTAACTGAGAAGCCATTAGGTATCATAGGCTGACTTGCCACGTCTTACAGACTTATAAAGGTTTTTAGTTACTAATATATCTCAAAGGTCATTAGGATATCATAACTAGCTTGCATTGACTCAGACAGCCATAAGATGTGGATTGCTGGCTTTATAGATATGAGAAGGTCATGAGATGTAGATAGCTGGCTTGATAGTAATAAGAAGGCCATGAGATGTAGATAGCTGGCTTGATAGTAATAAGAAGGCTATGAGATGTAGATAGCTGGCTTGATAGTAATAAGAAGGCCATGCGATGTAGATAGCTGGCTTGATAGTATTAAGAAGGCCATGAGATGTAGATAGCTGGCTTGATAGTAATAAGAAGGCCATGAGATGTAGATAGCTGGCTTGATAGTAATAAGAAGGCCATGCGATGTAGATAGCTGGCTTGATAGTATTAAGAAGGCCATGAAATGTAAAAAGCTGGCTTGATAGTAATAAGAAGGCCATGAGATGTAGATAGCTGGCTTGATAGTAATAAGAAGGCCATGAGATGTAGATTGCTGGCTTGATAGTAATAAGAAGGCCATGAGATGTAGATAGCTGGCTTGATAGTAATAAGAAGGCCATGAGATGTAGATAGCTGGCTTGATAGTAATGAGAAGGCCATGAGATGTAGATAGCTGGCTTGATAGTAATGAGAAGGCCATGAGATGTAGATAGCTGGCTTGATAGTAATAAGAAGGCCATGAGATGTAGATAGCTGGCTTGATAGTAATAAGAAGGCCATGAGATGTAGATAGCTGGCTTGATAGTGATAAGAAGGCCATGAGATGTAGATACCGTATAAGTGGTTTTTTCTGCGGTGACTTTATTTCTGCTTTTTCTGCGGTCGGTTTCGGCACCGCAGAAATAAAAACCGCAGAATATTTCTCTTACCTGCTACGATATGTATCCTACATTATAACCTGGTAACAGATTATAACGGTTAGCGGGTTTTCAAGTTGTATAAAATTGCTGAGTATTTAATCTGTGTTTGTAAGGATCTACTTATTGTTAATGATGCTAATTTAAGAATAAATAATCGTTGTATACTTTAATTGTCATCTGATTTACGGTAAACTTCTATCAATTTTATTAAATTAAAGATACTACCGGGGTATAGTGTTCACACATCACTTCACGCTGATCAAAGATGTATACCTTTCTATTGTTGCGCATAGCGAACAATATAATTGCTTGTAATTACTATACAGTTTTGCGTGAAGACGAACGTGTACATGCAAATATAATAGATAGGGTAATATGACTTAGACTTTGATAAGACGAGTCGCAGAATTTAAATCACATTTTGTCCAAAGAATGTGCCGCAGAAATTAAGACTGCAGAAATAAAAACATGCCAAAATTTGGAAAAACCGCAGAATATGGAGCCCGCAGAAAAAACCACTTATACGGTAGCTGGCTTGATAGTAATAAGAAGGCCATGAGATGTAGATAGCTGGCTTGATAGTAATAAGAAGGCCATGAGATGTAGATAGCTGGCTTGATAGTAATTAGAAGGCCATGAGATGTAGATAGCTGGCTTAATAGTAATAAGAAGGCCATGAGATGTAAATAGCTGGCTTGATAGTAATAAGAAGGCCATGAGATGTAGATACATGTAGCTGACTTGATAGTAATAAGAAGGCTATGGAAGTAGATAGCTGGCTTGATAGTAATAAGAAGGCCATGAGATGTAGATAGCTGGCTTGATAGTAATAAGAAGGCCATGAGATGTAGATAGCTGGCTTAATAGTAATAAGAAGGCCATGAGATGTGGATATCTGACTTGATAGGTATCAGAAGGCCATAAAATGTGGATGGCTGGCTTGAAAGGTATCAGAAAGCCATGAGATGTGGATGGCTGGCTTGACAGTTGTTAGAAGACATTATATTATATAATACTATTATTATAATTACTGTTACTTATGATATGTTCTGAATTTAATTTTTTATTTCAATCATTTCAGTATTAAAGGGGTACCAGCTATAACTGCAATGAAGTATAGAGGACCTCTACAGCTTGCTGTGGGAACCAGCACTGGGCATGTATGTTTGAAGTTCTTAATTACTTGGACAAAGTCATGTATTGTATTCTATATACATTGTATTTGTAAATCTCTATTTCAAATATGAAAATGAGTGTGTGCAGAATTATTTGGTACTAGGAAAGTTATGGAACAGAATTAATGCATTTATTCTATCTTGCTTGATGACATTGGAACTTGCATTATGCTTAATTCCATCTTGCTTGATGACATTGGAACTTGCATTATGCTTGATTCCATCTTGCTTGATGACATTGGAACTTGCATTATGCTTAATTCTATCTTGCTACATGACATTAGAACTTGCATTATGCTTGATTCCATCTTGCTTTATGATATTTAAACTTTGCATTTTGCTGGTTTCCATTTTTCGTTATTTCATTCAAACATTTCGTAGTCACCAATTCTTTCATTGAGTGATAACTAATAAACTGGAACAAGCCATTTGGAATACTAAAATGTTAACGTCATATACCTTTATGCATAAGCTACCTTTCTTCATGCTCTATACAAACCATTTACGGTTTAGTTTTTTTGTATTACTTTTATGTATAAGTCATTTAAAATTAACTATTTAATGTTCCCTGATGGATTTTTTAAAATATGACTTATAGCTCGCATGGCGTGATTACTATTAGCTTTCGCTTATATCCATTATGCAGTGTTTATGCTTAATAAAGCTCGGTGTCTGAGGCTTTGTGGATAATGTTTGATCATCTTACATTATGATAAACAATTAAAACTATGTCTAGCGATTTGTGAACTGTTAAGGGGCGAGAACTCTGTTATCGATGTCAACGGAATTTTTTCCACGATTCGCCTATCATCGGAATTTTCCGTATAGATACTGCGTACATGTATATATAAATACGTACTAAGCGTTTAATACATACATTGCAGTTGAAAGAATATAAATACAAGTAGTAAAGGATTATGCAATATAATTTTATATATGTATACAGTCTAATAGAAAAAAATATGCTCGTAAAAAGTGATGCAATGGGGCAGTTACACGTACAGTCAGTGGCGGATTCAGGCCCTGGCTTAAGGGCTGCACCTACCCCCAAATATACGTGGAATATATACGTGTCAGTTTCATGCAATAGTCTTCTTAGTGTACTCCCTTACCAAAACATATTATGCTGTCATCCAGTTGTCTAGCACCTGCCTAGGTACTGCGAAGGTCTTATCTAATGACTTGGACATTAAAAAGCAAAAATTATTGGCCTTTTAACTTAATAAATGCACAGACACTTGGGGTTTGGAGCTCAAAACGCCTTTAAAATCCAAATAAAATGCATATTTGTCAATCCCAGCACATGTACTGATCATATATATCAAAAAAACTTAATATAAGCCGTTTTGAAAAAAATTCATATTTCAACATCTATAATTATAATACTATTATTATATTGTATTATTACAGATGTTGAAATATGAATTTTTTTCAAAACGGCTTATATTAAGTTTTTTTGATATTCGTATATATGATCAGTACATGTGCTGGGATTGACAAATATGCATGTTTTGAGCTCCAAACCCCAAGTGTCTGTGAATAAATGTCTCAGAGTCACTAATAGTGGCGAATAGGTATGTAACACATTAAAATATACATGTATAATAAGGAAAGAAGGAAGTTGTTTATTTTTGTAACATGTGCATAGTCAATTACAAATGAGCCGCGTCACGACAAAACCAACATAATGGGTTTGCGACCAGCATGGATTCAGACCAGCCTGCGCGTCCGCGCAGTCTGATCAGGATCCAGGCTGTTCGCTACCAGTTTCTCTACTTGTAAAAGAGTTGGAAAGCGAACAGCATGGATCCTGATCAGACTGTGCGGACGCGCAGGCTGGTCTGGATCCATGTTGGTCGCAAACCCATTATGTTGGTTTTGTCGTGACGCGGCTCAAATGTTGGGCATATGTGTGTCTGATTATAGATCAGACATCCCGCACACACCACCACATTCACATACATTTGTGCTTAATGATATACTATGCACATCTTTCAGTAACATATTTTTATCACAGAAATTTATTGAAATCTATAAAATTCTTACTAAATATGTTTTATTTAAATAAAAACACATACACATAATGTATAGGAATCTGCTTTCCTTATTACGGGTCAAGTAAAGTTGTGTCTGTCTTTAAAAGAAACTTCCATATATTTTTTTTTGTAATAACACTATACATTTACGAATGTATATTCATACTGCCCACTTACGGTGTAAAGGATTGAAAGCACAATATTTGTGTGAAGCCAAATTATATTTATTTTATTTTACAGAAAAAAATCAAGTTTGTACTGTACTAAGTAGAGGTGTAACGGTTCATCGATGCATCGATACATCGCGATCTGCCCTATCCTCGATGAATGCATCGTAATGAATTTTTAAATTCCAATATATCAGGATGTTTCACCACCCGATGCATCGATATAGCGGGAAAGTATCGCAATACACTAATAGTTATGGTATAATGAAAAATGCCTTTAATCCTTAAGTAAAAAGTAAAAATCCTAAAGTAATAAGTAATGTAATTTGTTGAAAGATCAAAACTTGAATATAAGCTATAATAACAAGTTGAAGAGTTTTTTTAGCTCACCTGTCACAAAGTGACAGGGTGAGCTTTTGTGATCGCTTTTCGTCCGGCGTCCGTCCGTCCGTCCGTCGTCCGTCCGTAAACTTTTGCTTTAAATGACATCTCCTCATAAACCACTGAGCCAATTTCATCCAAACTTCACAGGAATGTTCCTTTGGTGATCACCTTTAAAAATTGTTCAAAGAATTTAATTCCATGCAGAACTCTGGTTGCCATGGCAACCGAAAGAAAAATCTTTAAATATCTTCTTTTAAACAACCCTAAGAGCTAGAGCTTAGATATTTGGCATGAAACATCTTCTAGTGAGTGTCTACCAAGTTTGTTCAAATAAAAGCCCTGGGGTCAAAATTGGCCCCGCCCCGGGGGGGTCATTGATTTTCCCTATATGCATATAGTAAAAACTTGAAAAATCTTCTTTTAAAGAACCCAAAGAGCTAGAGCTAAGATATTTGGCATGAAACATCTTCTAGTGAGTGTCTACCAAGTTTGTTCAAATAAAAGCCCTGGGGTCAAAATTGGCCCCGCCCCGGGGGGTCATTGATTTTCCCTATATGCTTATAGTAAAAACTTAAAAAATCTTCTTTTAAAGAACCGTAAGAGCTAGAGCTTAGATATTTAGCATGAAACATCTTCTTATGAATGTCTACCAAGTTTGTTCAAATAAAAGCCCTGGGGTCAAAATTGGCCCCGCCCCAGGGGGTCATTGATTTTCCCTATATGCATATAGTAAAAACTTAAAAAATCTTCTTTTAAAGAACCCAAAGAGCTAGAGCTAAGATATTAAGCATGAAACATCTTCTAGTGAGTGTCCACCAAGTTTGTTCAAATAAAAGCCCTGTGGTCAAAATTGGCCCCACCCCGGGGGGTCATTGATTTTCCCTATATGCATATAGTAAAAACTTAAAAAATCTTCTTTTAAAGAACCATAAGAGCTAGAGCTTAGATATTTGGCATGAAACATCTTCTAGTGAATGTCTACCAAGTTTGTTCAAATAAAAGCCCTGGGGTCAAAATTGACCCCGCCCCGGGGGTCATAGATTTTCCCTATATGCATATAGTAAAAACTTAAAAAATCTTCTTTTAAAGAACCTAAAGAGCTAGAGCTAAGATATTTAGCATGAAACATCTTCTAATGAGTGTCTACCAAGTTTGTTCAAATAAAAGCCCTGGGGTCAAAATTGGCACCGCCCCTGGGGGTCATTGATTTTCCCTATATGCATATAGTAAAAACTTAAAAAATCTTCTTTTAAAGAACTCAAAGAGCTAGAGTTTAGATATTAAGCATGAAACATCTTTAAGTAAATATCTACAAAGTTTGTTCAAATAAAAGCCCGGGGGTCAAAACTGGCCCTGCCCCAGGGGTGTCATTGTTTTTAACTATATGTGTATAGTGAAAACTTTAAAAATCTTCTTTTAAAAAACCCAATGAGCTAGAACTTAGATGTTTAGCATGAAACATCTTCTTATGGGTGTCTACCAAGTCTGTTCAAATAAACAAATAAAAGCCCTTGGGTAAAAATTGGCCCGGGGTGGGGGGGGGGGCCTATATACAGGTGAGCGACCTCAGGGCCATCATGGCCCTCTTGTTTTGTTATTGTAATAGTTTTATATTACATTCGTAATTATGCTGTGAACAAATGACCAAGTTTTTTATGTAGATAAAGTCTGAAAGTCAATGTTGTGATACGTATTGCATCGAGACATAAGAATGGCAATATGCATCGCATTTTATCCAAGTATGCAATACATATCGTGAATCGCATCGTTTGGAAATGCAAGTATCGTGATATGTATCGTGACAAAAAATGGCAATGCACAGCCCTAGTACTAAGTCGTGGCCACGAGTTACTAGATCGTTTAAGTCGTGGGAACGAGATAACTGTGTCGTGCAGACGAAATAATTAAATCAGATTACACCATGATTTTCTAAACTTAGAAAATTTCTGTTTAAAGGTTTACGTGCAACATTAATTTTTTGAAAATACTGAAGTGTTCACTTTGAACTTGATACATGTCTTAAGGATCATCAGGCCCATAAACCATACATTAATTTTGACTTAGTTATAGCCCTTTGTTGGGATAATTCTATGATAGAATTGGTCATTTTGTACGTACAACGGCCTGTTAACATTTGAGAGGGACTTAGTCCTGGTTTATTTTATTGGGTAGGGACATTGCCCATGGACAGTAGATATCCTATAAGGATGTTTGAGGTCACGGGTCAGACAAACATGACACTTCATGTAAAATCATTGTCTGATGAATGATTTAGAAAGAATAAGCTGTAGTTTATATAACCTAAAAAGATCAGTAGATGATCTAATAATTTTTAGGCAATTTGGTCAGAAATCAGGGTCACAATGACGCTAAATCTTTGACCAATCAATAACTTGTATGAATGGTACTTTTACGGACAGGAGAAGTAGGGGCATCCTTGTTAGGAAAATTCATATAAATAGTGTAATTTGATTGGTTATTTATCTCGTTCGCACGACTTAACTTTCTCGTGGCCACCACTAAACTTTCTCGTGGCCACGACATAGTAACTTGTTCCAACGACTTATTCCTCTCGTGGCCACGACTTAGTCATCTCGTTCCCACGACTTAATTATCTCGTGGCCACGACTAAGTAACTCGTGGCCACAATATAGTATCTCGTTCCCACGACTTAACTATCTCGTGGTCACGACTTAGTAACCCGTGGCCACGACATAGTATCTCGTGCGCATGAGATAAATAAAAACACACACATGTCACCTTTGTGCCACCGTAAGTTTGAGCATAGTATATCTTAAAATTCAGTTTCACTATTGCTCATACGACTATCACACACGCTCAAAAAGAAATGTAAACAATTATATAAGAGGTGAGTTGCCACTTGTAGGATGAGCTATTAGAGAAATCTATAACATTTTTTTTCACATGCTGGCGGAATCTTCAAAAACACGCACTTTTCGTCTGTCGCATCGTGTTCTCTTGTTCTCCAGTAAATTTTCCCTTTACATGTCAGTCTCCAACTAACACTGTTCTGTATACGCCCCTGTATAAAGGGGACGTAACTTTGTTTTTACTCCACGTGCCAAAATACGGGATCATCCGGAAAATAACGGGATGTACCGATAAAGCGACACCTGCTGTCATAATACGAACACAAATTATTGCAACTCGCATTATGCTTACTGCCAACTGCTTAGTGCGTACTGTCACATGCGACTATAATATCGCTATCGTTGTCATCTTCGTTGTCGATGCGCAGTGATCCTATATTGCATTATATTTGTAATCAGTGTATATATTGAAGCATATGAATGCTAAGACACATCAAATTCGCCAATTATTGATCAAAATTAATAATTTATTGTGACATAATGTCGACAATATAAGGCAAATTAAAGGTACTGACAGAAACTAACCATGTGACATATAGTTATATCAAGAACAAGCAAAGAATGTTATCTTAAACACCAAACATAATACGTTGATCTTTATAAAAGATGCAATTAAACATATAGCATATTAAAATATGTGAGTTTGATGGTTTAGTAGGGAACACATAAGGTTGCAATTACATGAAAGTGCATTCAGTAATAATAAGGCATGATTGAATTTAGCAAAACGCAGGTTTTCATTGTCATAAAGAAGTATAGAAGCAAGCATAATGTAAGTCCCAATATCATAAAGCAAGATGGAATAAATGCACTTATTCTGTTCCATAGAAAGTGTTAAGTGATTTTTAAAGGGGAAATACATGTGTATCCATAAAACCTTGGTGAAGCAATTTAATATCAGATGAGGAAGATTAGAAGTGATCAATATTTTTACTTAAATTATTTAATGCTAAATCATATGAATTAACTTGATTTGATGCTAAATCATATTGTTTTATATGATGAAAGGCAAAATCATATAATATGATTGAATGCCAAATTTTATGATTTCATGCTAAATCATATTTTATTGCGTGATTTTTAAGCTAAATCACATGAGTTGATGAATTTTGATGATAAATCACATTCATGGTCTTGCATGGTTTAATGCTAAATCATATCATTTGATGTGATTTGAAGCTCAGTCTAAATAATTGGTCTTGTTAAACACTTATTAAATGTAAAATCATATGAATCAATGTGATTCCTTGCTAAATCACATGGTCTTATGTGATTAAATGCTTATAACATGTTATTAGTTTTAATGTTACAATAAATGGTGAATTTGATTGTTAAATGTGATATAATGCTACACTGTATGTTCCTAAACAATTAAAAGCTTAACAATAAGGTAATTAATGGTAAATCTGCAATATAATGCTACATTACGTGGTGTTATGAGATCCAATGCTAAATCAAAAATTAAAAATTTAGGAAATTACAAAATAGAGGGGGGGGGGGGGGGATTCACTCATATTTTTGAGAATAACCCCCTATTATTTCAGAGGCAGGGGGGGGGAATTTTACATAGAGAAAGATGGAAAAAGATCAACAAATGTAATAAATTCTCACTTTTTCAATAAAAATCCCAATTGTTTTTCAAATCCTAGAATAAACACTGGCTATTTGTCAGTGGATCTAGATTCAGGGCATATATTTTGTATGAAGTAAAGTTGTTTGGTTGTTTTTCAGGTACTATTGTATGACATCAGATCTGATAAACCTCTGCTAGTGAAGGATCATCAATATGAACTGCCTATAAAAAAAATAATGTTCCATGATCACCTGGACCTAGTCATGTCAATGGATTCTAAAATACTAAAACTCTGGGATAGGAATACGGTATTCTAAATTTATTTTGATATGTAATACAGTCTAACTTGCTCGTGTGACCATGTGTATTGGGCGACTTTTGTCTTATGCGATCACTGTAATTTCCCCCTGATCATTTTCTCTCTATATCTTTAATGTGTTAAGCGACTTTTGTCTTTTCTCGTGCTTTGTCTTAAGCGACCGTTTCATTTAGCGACCATTTTGATGTTTGCCTTTCATGGTTGCTTAATACATGTTTTGACCATACAATTATGACACATACACTTAGTAAGGCTATTTTTAGTATACATTGAAAACATTGCTTTTCATTGGATAATTTCACATTTATATGAACTTTAATTGGCTGATGTCAATTTGTTAAGATATTTTATTTTGTTTACAAATAAAGGTAGTTTGCTGTATTTTAAATTCATTATAACTATTCTAGACCAGTGATATTAAAAAAATTACGAAGTCTCTGGGGGTAAATGTGCATATTAGCAAACAGACAACTGAAATAACGATGGAGGTGTATCTGAAATAACATCGGAGGCAGAGCCGAAGGTGTTATTTCAGTTCAAGATACAGCATAACATGGAGGATACAACATACAAGTGATCATCAGAAATCAGTACACATGTTACTATGTAATTAAATTTTGCCATTTTATTACATGGTAAATAAACGGGGTTACCAAGATTGGGCCTCAAATATAATTTTTTTTTTAAATCCTTTTTATTGCAGGGTAAAGCTTACACAGCTATCGAGCCAGGAAACAACCTGAATGATATGTGTATGGTGCCTGGCTCTGGACTTGTGTTCATGGCAAACGAGGCACCAAAAGTTCTTACTTACTACCTCCCGGTAAGTAGTCATTTTCTGCTTTGTAATGCTAAACTTTCTGGAATTTGTATTTTTTTTCAGTTTATGCAGTTTTCTCCTTTTTCTTAATTTAGAAAATAGCTTTTCTTGCATATCAGAATGGTGTTTCCATTAGTTTTACCCATGCCCGAAATTTCATCTGGCATTGGGGGTGTCATAATTTCGCCACAATGAATGAAGTTGTAATTTCATACGCTGTTGCAAGAAAATAGTTACGGGTGTTATGATGTAAATTTCCAGGCAAAATTGTTTAATTAAGGTAAAGAATATAAAGTATGATGGAATATGGTAGAATATGCAAGAAAATATATCTGACATATGTTTGAAGTGGTTTCCCTTGGGATGGATAGTCTGATCTAAGCCACAACATACAACACTTAATATTATAATTCTGATATAAAATAGGTAAATATTTACTTCAAACAAGACAATACAAGGGAGTTAAATGTGTCTTACATGATAAGTTTCAGCAAGAGTTTTGTTGTCTCCCTTGTTAGAGTTTTAAGATCCCTTTTTCTGTTCTATTAGTCTCTAGGTACAGCTCCAAGATGGTGTTCCTTCTTGGACAATCTCACAGAGGAGCTGGAAGAAAGCAATGCTGCTATAGGTAATTTCTATTTTGATTTTAGTAGACCAAAGATTTTAAAGGATTATTATAAAATTTAAAAGTTTGAAATTTACAATATCATTCTCACTTTAGTATATGGCATACACTTTGCCCCTATCCATAATCGTGGCAAAACATCCTGATATATAGATTGCTTGTGGCTGGGGATATTCGGATTTTTTTTGTCCTATTTATTTTTCACTCAGCATATCTTCTTGGCTTTTTGCTTGATGGCATAACAAAACCAATGCATTAATCCAGTAATAAAGAACAGTCATAAAAGAATTGAAAAGTTGGCTCATTTTTCTAGCTAGCTTACAGAATGTCAGTGGTTCTTCTTGGGTGCTTGCTTGTGCTGGAAATAATGCATGGTCAGGCTATCAAGGTCTTCTTCCATCAGTGAAGCTGGAAAGTCACCATATGACCTTTACAGTGTTAGTAAACCCCAATATTTGTTATTAAGATGTTATTTGATTTCAAATTTTTCAGTGTATGATGATTATAAGTTCGTGACACGGAAAGAATTGGAGGATTTGGGGTTAAATCATTTGATTGGTTCAAACCTCCTTAGGGCTTACATGCATGGTTTCTTCCTCGATATACGCCTGTACCATAAGGTGGGGACAATTTTCTTATTGCATATGATATAAACATACATTATTTATACACAATGTACAAAAGGGTTGGGTTAAAAATCCTTTTTGGCAACATAACCTGTGGCTCTTCCCTACCAAAAGGTTTTATTATTTATGATAAGCAAATACATCTTTGAGATATCATTAACACATAAGATGAAGGTGAAAGTATTGGCTTTCTTAGTACATTTTCTAAAGAATTTTATCCAGGAGGAACTTTTTGGTGGCTGGGCAGGCCAAGTGGTTAACACATCAGACCAGTTTTCTCTCAGGATTGCTGGTTGCATTGGTTTAAACCCTGTCAGGGGCAATCATGCCAAACAGTTTCATCCTCGAGTACGAAATTTTACACTTTTTGCTTAGTATGTGTTGGTTCCTTGAAGTATTTTTTTAAGGCTTGTACATCTTAGCTTCTAACACAATTATACAAATGTAAAGTCTTTATAAACAATAAGAATTAATAATGAAACAACAAAAAAGCTATAAGCTTTGCTTAGGGTGGTCTCAAACATCATTGAGCTATCTGAACTGTCTTTGGGTTCATTAGAATGTCTTTTGATAATTATAACTTGATAATATTTGAATATTACATATTATTTACAGGCCAAGTCTTTAGCTGAGCCATTTGCTTATGAAGAGTACAGGAAGAGTAAGATCAGAGAAAAGATTGAGGCAGAAAGAGCTAACAGGGTCGTTGTGAAGGTAAGGGAACCATATCTTTTTATTGTTTTTGCAAAAAAATTTTTTTTGCCTATTATAGTAAGTCAATAAACGATATCGTTACATATACCAACCAATCGTAACATTAATTTTATATTGGGTTTGTTTTAGGAGGATATGACAATTTTTTGGAACTCCTAGTATGTTTTTAGAAAATTATAAATGCTAAAAAATAGTATTTATTTTGTAAGCAAAGAAATGTAATTAGTCAGCGAAAATACCTTCTACTTAAAACTACATTATTAATACTAAGATATACATTTAATTGTATTCTTGTAAAAATATTTTAGAAATTACCTAAAGTAAATAGAGAACTGGCCGAGAAATTACTGGACGTCGAGGATAGCATCGTGCAGAAGAAAACGACGATGAGAGCTGGTCTCACCTTGCTTAAAGATAACCGTTTCTCGGATATGTTCAAGAATCCGGATTTCCAGATCAATAAGGAGTCGGAGGAGTATAAACTGCTGAATCCGGTTGTGTCGAAACTTGATAAGGCCAAAAAGAAGAAGCAGCAGAAGTTAGAGGACCAGTTTAATGAAGTGGAGGTAAATAATCGGAAGTTTTTTTAACTCACCTGAGCTAGCTCAGGTGAGCTTTTAGGACCGTTGAATGTCAGTCGTCTGTCGGCCGTCCACATTTGTTCATTAAACTTGGTCAGGATGCTTGTCTAAGTAATTGCCTAGATGAGTTTGTTGGGTCAGGTGAGCGATCTAGGGCCATTTTGGCCCTTTTGTTTACGTAATCAGAGCTAAACATGTCCAAATGACCTGTTGCGATTAGTCTATGTCCATCATTTGATTTAAAAAATTTTGATTAGTTTTTAGCTCACCTGTGACAGGGTGAGCTTTTGTGATCGCTTTTCGTCCGGCGTCCATCCGTCGTCCATCCGTAAACTTTTACTTTAAATGACATCTCCTCATAAACCACTAAGCCAATTTCATCCAAACTTCACAGGAATGTTCCTTTGGTGGTCACCTTTAAAAATTGTTCAAAGAATTTAATTCCATGCAGAACTCTGGTTGCCATGGCAACCGAAAGAAAAAACTTTAAATATCTTCTTTTAAAAAACCATAAGAGCTAGAGCTTAGATATTTGGCATGAAACATCTTCTAGTGAGTGTCTACCAAGTTTGTTCAAATAAAAGCCCTGGGGTCAATATTGGCCCCGCCCCGGGGGGTCATTGATTTTCCCTATATGCATATAGTAAAAACTTAAAAAATCTTCTTTTAAAGAACCCAAAGAGCTAGAGCTAAGATATTTAGCATGAAATATGTTCTAATGGGTGTCTACCAAGTTTGTTCAAATAAAAGCCCTGGGGTTAAAATTGGCCCCGCCCCGGGGGGTCATTGATTTTCCCTATATGCATATAGTAAAAACTTAAAAAATCTTCTTTTAAAGAACCAAAAGAGTTAGAGCTAAGATATTTAGCATGAAACATGTTCTAATAAGTGTCTACCAAGTTTGTTCAAATAAAAGCCCTGGGGTCAAAATTGGCCCTGCCCCGGGGGGTCATTGATTTTCCCTATATGCATATAGAAAAAAACTTAGAAAAATCTTCTTTGTAAAGAACTCAAAGAGCTATGGCTAAGATATTTAGCATCAAACATGCTCTAATAGGGGTCTACCAAGTTTGTTCAAATAAAAGCCCTGGGGTCAAAATTGGCACCGCCCCGGGGGTCATTGATTTTCTTTATATGTGTATAGCAAAAACTTAAAAAATCTTCTTTGAAAAAACCCAAATGGCTAGAGTTAAGATATTAAGCATGAAACATCTTTTAGTGAGTATCTACAAAGTTTGTTCAAATAAAAGACCTGGGGTCAAAATTGGCCCCGCCCCAGGGGTCATTGATTTTCTTTATATGTGTATAGCAAAAACTTAAAATCTTCTTTGAAAAAACCCAAATAGCTAGAGTTTAGATATGAAGCATGAAACATGTTCTAGTAAGTGTCTACAAAGTTTGTTCAAATAAAAGCCCTGGCCCGGCCCCAGGGATGTCATTGTTTTTAACTATATGTGTATAGTAAAAACTTTAAAAAAATCTTCTTTTAAAAAGCCCAATGAGCTAGAGCTTAGATGTTTAGCATGAAACATCTTCTTATGGGTGTCTACCAAGTTTGTGCAAATAAAAGCCCTTGGGTTAAATTGGCCCTGCAACGTTGGGGGGGGGGGGGGTTGGAGGGGCCTATATACAGGTGAGCGACCTCAGGGCCATCATGGCCCTCTTGTTTTACAAACCTATTGATTTTGTATCAAATGTTTTGGACTAATGCTGGCTTAAGAAGTAATAGGTCTATGGTTCCATTCCTGATACAGGCATCACTTATGTCCACCTGCTTAGCTCTCAGAAGATTTCCCTGGTTTGATCCTCAGGTGAGGGAAAATTTCAACTGATCTCAAACATTGAGTCTAATAACCATTTGTCTCTCACCCCCGATTTAGAAATCATGTGAGATAAGTAGTCAATCACTTGCAGAAAAATCATGTAATTACCAGTTAGTTTTCATGGCCAGCCATTTAATTTACTCATCTGTTTCAAAGAGTAAATCATCTGTCTCAAAGAGTAAATCATCTGTTTCAAAGAGTAAATCATCTGTTTCAAAGAGTAAATCATCTGTTTCAAAGAGTAAATCATCTGTTTCAAAGAGTAAATCATCTGTTTCAAAGAAAAAGTTAAGCTTTTATGATGGCTGTCTCATTGTTGTCGTGTAAAAACATTAATGTAGCCCATTTGATTATTCAAACATTTGGAAAGATATCGAAAAGAAACTCACAATACTTGTTTATCATGACTAGCTGCAGTTGTAAGACAAGGGGCATTATTCTGAAAGCAATATTTTTAGATATGTTCCTTTTCAACTAAGAATATTTTGTAAAAACTTGTTTTTATTGACTATAACAGATGAGCATTTACACAGCATGAGGTGTTCTTGTTTGTTTTAGGATGAGGGTTACGCCAAGGAACAGGGTGGCTACAGTGACAGTAGTTCTGATGATGAACATACTTGGACTGCTGCAGATAAACAACAGTGGAAGAGACATGTTGATGAGCAAAAGGAAGCCACTAGGATAGAGAGACAGGATAAAGCTCCGAAATTCTTCGAACTTAAAGAAGGGGTCGAGTTTGGAAAATCTTCTGATGAAAACAGAATCATGAAAGAAAAGAAGTATGAATTTCATTTTGTTTGGGGTTGCTTTTTTGAAGTACTTGTATTATATTGTATTTTATGTGAGAAACTTACGGGGCCTCGTAAATTGCCTTGAGAATAGGATAATTATCATGACAAGGGACAGTTGTTAGACAAGGAACATTATCCTGAAAGCAATATTTTAGGAGTTATGTCCGCTTTTAACTCAGAATATTTATAAAAAAATTGCCAGTAGCAGACGAGTGCTAACAATTCATGCAGTTGTCTTATTCTACCTTGTATTTGCATATTTAACATATATTAAGTAGTTAATTAGTATAAATAACTTAATTTGTTCTTTGAAATTTTTTTCTATGAACTATTAAAACATTAACTTTTCGTTAAAATTTACATAAATATGCAAGCTTGCTGGATTTGACCATTTATCTTTGATACTTAACTTGCTTTCACATAATGGAATGTTGTGTGTTTCTTTTCAGATTATCACTTGCAGAGAGGCTAGCGGGAGAAGGAGATGTTACCATAGCAACTGAGCCAGGCGCCATAGGAAACAAGGAGCTCAAATTTACAATGAAAAAGGTAATACCAGTTCTATTGAACAAAGCTGGACTTCTGCGATTTGCATGAAAGTCATGACCCCCTTTTTATGTGTCACATATTTTTCAGCTTGACTTTAAGGAAAAAAAGTGATGGTAGTATATTACAGTGAACTCATGATAGTTAGCAATATAAGCTTTGTTTGTATATGTTTACAATTGATGTGATCTGGAATTCGGCAAAAGTGGGTGATTCCAAGCTTATCCCCTGGTACATACAAACTTTTACTGTTAAGCTTCATGGTGCACAACCAGTCACAATAGATTAGTCAACCTGTTGTGCTTATTTTCGAAGCTGTAACTGTGAAAATTTGTTTGTACCCCCCAGATTAGCTGAGAAAAAAATGCCGGAGTAAGTCTATTGATAAAATTGGCCATATGATCTGTCAAAAACTCAAAGCCTGTCAAAATTCTTTATAAATAATGATTATGCTATCAACTTGGTTTTGAGTGATGAACATTTGGCAACTCTGAGGCAAGAATTATCAACGTTCTACACAAAATAATGATCAAATGAGAGCTGTAGTGTTACATTCTTGATACTTTTAATTTTCAGGGAAGGAAAGAGTTACGGCAGGAACATGAGCAACGATCACATCATGCTGAGCGCAGAAAGATTCGCAGATCAGCAGGGGAGATAACTAAAGGACTTAAACAAAAGCCCAAATTCTGGATGGGACAGAGAGTGAAGTGATACTTTGTACAGAAATTATATTATCTGTGATAAAATTTGTGACATTCTGCAAATGCAGATAAAATAGGAAAGATCTGGGCATGGGGATACCTCTGGTCACAATTCTAGCCCCTTTGAAGTGGAGGGTAACTAGAGCTTATGTCATGGAAAATTAAGGTCAGGCCTGGAATAATTTAAAGGAGGTTAACAAATTTGAGTGTGCAAACAGAATATGTGCTATGGAAGATTTTGTCAGAACTAAATTTTGACAGCCTGACGAGTTTTGAAGAATGAACTTATACATGCATATTATGTCTGGAAAAAAAGTTTTGTCAAGTTTTAATTTCAGGAGGCTGACAAAGTTTTGCATTGTATGGCAATATTGATTTTTAAAAGTGATGTTGAAAAGGCAGTCCTATAGCACATTATATCCTTTAGGCTGTATGTAAATACAGACGTCACTGTTAGTAAATGGGTAGGGATTCTGTGATATAAATTTAAGTTCAACATAGGGCTGTCATTCATTGATTGGGGAAAAATGTTATTGATATATGGAAAGCCAAATATAAATGAAATGTCAGATGAAATAGTGATTACAGTAGAACCATATAATTACATGCAGTACTGGTGTTTAAACTTTAAACCAATACAACATAACAATGGAAAGTATGATTTCTTGTTTTATGTATGGCTTACTTCAGTGAATTTTTTTTATAGTTCAGGCTAGCCAAGAATAAAAGTTGAGAAGTGATTTCTTTTGCACAAGACGGGTTAAACAGGTTTCAAATGGTATCAGTAATCAGAATTGTAAATCGATATTGAATGAAATGATGAATAACGATGATATATCAATTTCTCAATATTTTATGTCATCCCTAATTTCAACCATACTGATTTTAGCATGTGAAATTTTAAAGAATTGTGAATTTGAAGTATACTTTTCTCAGACTTTTACAGATTTTTGTTGAAAACTTTGCAATTTTGCTTATCTCCAAGAAAGTAGCTTTAGTTGTTGAACTTAAACTGTGCTGGCGGCAACTAAATATACACCCACGTGACCAGTGCAGACTAAGATCTGCCAGCTCATCCATACCTTCTGATCATGGTCTGCACTGGTTGCTTGTCATTCAGTACATATTGAAACATTATACTTGAAATGATGAAAAGTTTCAACTGTTGTCATGATTGAATAATGAGCATGTGCTTTTAACAAATAAGGCTGATTTAGTTGGATAGGATATAAATATATTAGTGATAATGAATGTTATTTTTACAGCTTAGACATACATTAAGTTAATTCATACAAATTAATCATCTTGATTGTATTTAAGTTTGTTATTAAATAAGGTTAATTGATTGTTATGGTGTGCAATTATGTAACATTTTCAGTTCATCAGCACTTAGAGTAGATGAATGGTGATGAACTAACCTATCTAGATTTCTACAAAAGTTAAATAAATCATGACCTTCGGGTCAAAATTGACCCTGCCCTGGAAGTCAATTGCTTTCACTAGACTTAGGTTTAGGGAAACATATCCTTTTGTGGATGAAGACTTTTTGATTACCCAAACAAATTTTCAGTGGGTGTATATTGCCCAACCTTCATGGTGCTCTTAGTATTTTTGATATGCTTTAATAGTTTACAAGATGTTACTTATTGGCTTATTGTTGAACCATCTTTTGTGTTTTGGCACTTCATACAAATAACAGTGATTTATTTTTTAGTAATTATAAAATATCACTTTGTAAACATTAGGCTACCTCTGTGAAACGAAATATCTCATTCAGTACTGTTTTGTTCCTATAATCGCGTTTAAAATGCGAGGCATCTGTTGCCAAATGGTTATGGTCGTTGACTTCTAACCACTTGCCCCTCACCACTGTGGGTTCAAGTTCCAACAGGGCCTTTGATCCTTTCATGTAAGGAAGCTATCCAGCTAGCTTACAAAACGTCGGTGGTTCTACTGGGGTGTCCGTTTGTGCCTGAATGCATGGAAGGGCACCTGAGGTCTTCCTCCACCAGGAAAACTGGAACACCACCATATGACCTATACTGTGTCAGCGTGACATAAAACCCAAAAAACGATCAAAAGGTTTAATACGCTCTTAATCAATCATTACACTATTATAAAGCACGTGTTTGACATTTCTCTACGGAAGGAAAAATGTATTCATTTATGTACCTTTAAGTTTTAATGGATGACAACAGGATAACAATAAAGCTTACAGGCTTATATACATTATGGTAAGATCAATTAATAAAACGTCACATAAAACTGTTTTATAAAGTTAATATGCTTGTTAGTGAACATTGTTGATACCAAGTTATGTTTGCTGCAATAAATAAAGAATAATTTTATATCTTAATTTTGTGATTTATTTGCCCCCTCAAAAACATAGAACTGTAATTTCTTTAAAAAAAATATGATTAATGTAAACACCCATTTAATTATTTTATTTTGAATTGGTCAAACTTCTGGTGATTGTAGATTGAAAACAGTCTTTGATATAGTGTTTCTCTTTAACTTGAAAATCTATAGGAAAACCACCTTTGACCTATTGAAGCTTGTTGGATTTTGTAGGCACACGTACCATACCACTGGCTATTTTGTCAGTTCAAAAATACAAGGGATATGTCATAACTGAAAACGGGGTTATAACTTGATAAGATTGGGTTTTAAGTAACACATTATTAACATCATATCGCTGCTTTTCTCTTTAAAGCCAGCTACAAAGGTTAATAAAGACCTCGGGTATTATTTCAGGTCCCACAGGACACTAGGATAGAACCACTTACAGCCACTAATAGTTTCCTCACTGAGGTTACCAATGTGGGTTAATGTAAGAAAAGTCACCGATCGAAAAATTTACCATTTTTCTAGAGCTAGCGCTTTTTTTCAAACAAATGGTATTTTAACGGCTGACATTTGAAAATTGTGGGGTTTTTTTTTTTACCAAAAATTGTACACTTTATAATCTCAGATCCAAAAGCACGGCCATGCCCCGCGGAAATCTCAAAAAGGTCATTTTCCATGACCTAGAGACAACTTGATTTAGAAGTTTGTTGTTTTTTTGTTTGTTTTTTTTTTCTTTTTCTTCAGCAACACGACCTGAACCTTCCGCAAATCTTTCAACTGATTACGTTAAGAAATATTCTTATCAATCATTAACGCCTCGCCATTTCCCGCAAACAGATAAGTACATACATGTATAAGTACCAATTCTACGAATTGTGATTTTGGAAGTTTTTGTTGTAAATGAAGATTAAGTGAGGAAATTTTACATTTTATTTTGTAATCTTTCAAGTGCTGTAAAATGAATACGATTTTCCTCTAATGCCGTCGATTTTTTAAGGACACAAAATATATTTTAATTTTATTTATTCAAATAAATTAGTCTGGAAGAACGATATTTGAAACATTAATCATTTCGCAGGCAAATATAATTTTCAAATTAAAAAGGTTCTGTTGAAATATTGAAGCTCGGCGGTTGAAGTCATGCCCTCTGAAGTATTACAACTATCTGTATTTTTCCAGATATTCGACTGTAAGTCATGTTGTATACATGTGTTTTATTTACGACAACAACCTGTTAATTTATTATTCTTTTTTTAATGTATCCAGAATTTCAATTTATTACTTTTATTCCATATGGACTATCAATTTATGATGTGTTGCACTAGAATTAAAAAATACAGTACATAACCCGTGGTCATTCATTTGATATCACTGACCATTGCCTCTGTCTCCAAGTGAATAATTATTTCCCTGTTCTGTTCTGTTCTGTTCTCATAATAAAATATATATAATTGACCACTGTGGACAAAAGAATCTGATATTCTCTCATTAAACTATACGCTACTCCAATTCTTGTTGTACCGAAAGGAAAGTTGGAAAAATTCGCACTTTAACGAAACTTGTTTTAATTTGTTGTTTTTTTTCTAATCAATTTGAATACGTAAACTGTTACAACGCATCTGTTTGACTAAGTATATCTTTAAATTGATAATTTTTCAGCGACTTGTGATCAAAATTCAATGTTAATTTGTTGGCAGGGTCAATTCTCAACGTTGAAAATGACCCAGGTTCAGTTCTCACCACTGAAAAATAGCCCATGGGTTCAAAATTAAATGTAACACAGGCACTATAAGCAGCTTTTACTGTCGAGTCCGGACCCAGGCCCGGACATTTCCCCAGTCATGGCCTTAATTTTTAGCACAAAGTTGTGATCATTTATCTCCATGCATTTTTCACGGAATATTAGCCACACATATGAATTTTGAGCTAAAAGGCACTGTACGGCCCCAAATGAAAAAAAATGTACACTTAACTGAGACAATATGAAAAGGAGCTAGCCCTGAAAAGGGCTGTTATATCAGCAAAGGGCCTGTCATTCAAGCCGGCTCTCTTTGCTAGGGACTGATGCACACTAGCACACTGTCCTCGTCGTCCCTGCCTACTTTGTAGGGCCACTCCCCTAGGCATTTTTCGGGGCATCGGCAGCTTGTCCGTTTAGGTGTCCTTTTCCGCCATGCCCTGTGCCTTCGCTGTGACGTTGGAGAGAGAAGGAGCTGTTCAACCAAAAATCTTGACTGTTATACCCAAAATACACACAAGGTCAATCAAAATAAAATTACCAAAAACGGTTAGAAAATTAAACAAAATGTAGACTCTTAGACCAATGAAATAGAAAAAAGGACTTCAAACATAAAAGCATCATTTTAACATAGTTTAAACGTTTAAAACGAAGAATAAACGAAAAAATCAGATCTATAATGATTTAGCTTTAGCCGGTCGGCCTATAGTTACGAAACAGAAACTTTGTTGATACAAAGGTGACATGTGTTTATTTTTATTTATCTCGTGCGCACGAGTTACCAAGTCTTGCGCATGAGTTACTATGTGGTGAGCACGAGTTATTACATTATATTAAGAAGCTCAAGCATATCGATGTAAGGCCACACAAAAACAGTTATTGCAGTTTTCTTATTGTCTTTTTCTACTATGTTTTCAAAATAAGTTTACAGTATATTTATTAGAGAAAAAAAACGAAAGAAAGAACAAAAACAAAAAAACTTAGGCTATGCCGACCCAATGTTAATAACCGTCCGTCAAATCTTACTGCCGCGGTAATCGGGTCAAAAAATAGTACCTTGATTTTTTCTAAGCTGACTCATCACTCATCACAGACATTTACAATATGAAAATATTTTTATTCTTTAATTTCATATCTGCAATTTGTAAAGATAATAATTCTCTGAAAAATTCTTGATTTTTGTTTAAATCACTACTCCGTGACGTCATACTGCCGCGGTAATCAGGTTTAAGCATACGTACATCTCTGTAATAAATAGTTCTGGTATGAAAACCCTTCAAAATAATAACTTTATCAATATTTTTTTAACAAAAAGCATAAATGAAAATTTATAAGTAAATGCTTTAATTTAGTGGCAAATATTCTTTATTATTTTTGATAACAATTTTCCAATTACTACGCAGCGACCAACTGTTTATGACGGGTCATTAACTAGAACGTTGCAACACCGTATTCTCAATATCATGCATGTTCTTTTGTTGTTATAAACCATTAATAGCCCTTAATATTTTTAAAGACAAATAATTGTAAACTGTCGCTTACATCAGAGACATGGATCATGCTTGCGTGATAACTAAGGAAAACTAACTATTAGTACACCCCAGGAGGCTGTACGCAGAAAACGCTCATAAACCGCTATATCATATAGCTGTTAGTAAATATTTTGCATACATTTAACTAAAGATTCACTGATGGTGATGAACATATAGTTTGAAAACATTATATTCTTAAAAAAAAACTATTTAACTACAAAACCCCTAAGGACCCTCCGACAAAATTCCAGCACAATATTACATTTTACATTAGCAAAATAAAAAAAGCAATACTTATATTTTCATCTTACATAATTCATTAATCAAACTTTTAACATAAAAGTATCTTTGGCAATTGACAGATCCCTACTCTGATCTTTTATTTGTATAGGAATAAATTTAAACATGTGCTCTTTTGTTTAGGAATATTTTGTAGTGAAAGTCGTATATATTCACTAATCTCATAATTAGAATTAGACAGGTCAGGAATTTATACAACCAGTTGTTTAGTTAACTATGCTCATTTTAATCCCAATAGAAACATTCAAATATTTGGGGTAAAAAACATGACCAAAGTACCTAGTAGTCGTTTACCCGGTGGTGATCCCATTAAACTGATTATAGATTCGAATTGATTAGAAAACACAAATAGAAACACGTGTTTCCGTACAACAAAAATCGGAAGTAAAGTGAACAGTTAATTGACAGAAATATGTGGTCAAATATGTTTTAACAAGGAAATAATTATTTCAGAGAAAGACGCAAAGATCAGTATGACCCCGTATTGTGTAATTAGAAAGTTTATTCAATTCTAGGGCATACATCATAATTTGATAGTCCATGTGTAATAAAATTCAAATTTTCAATACAGATTATAAGATACATAAAAAAATATTAAAGAATAAGAAAGCTTTAATTAAAAAAAAAAAAAAAAAAAAAAAAAAAAAAAAAAAAAAAAAAAAAAACCCGCATACATATACAAATTACTTACAGTCGAGCACCGGGAAGTCATTAACATATCTTACGAAACTTTAATTTGAAAACGATATTTGCGCGCGCTGAAGTGATTAATGTTTATTTGAAAAATAAAAAAAAAAGAACTTTTATGTTTGTGTTCTAAAAATAATCGGCGGCATAAGAGGAATTTCTTATTCATTTTACAACACTTGAAAAATTACTACAGAAAATGTGTTGTTGTTTTTTTGTTTTGTTTTCAACAAAAGTGTGTGTGTTTTAAGTTTATTTATACTCGGCGCCGGAATAACCATATGTCCGAGATTATAGCATCGGGGACGTCTTTTTCAAGCAGATTCTTCCTGGAAGCCTATTCTTCGTTCTTTGGTGGTAAAGGAGACGACAATACCGTCAAGGCATCAACTTTCTGACTGACGACAACAAAAACGGCATCTATTAGCGCCAAACCTCAAGAGTAAGTCACGACAGGTCAACCAATCACCTCTGGTACTTATGATGACTTGACTATGACCTTCCGTGTGCCTTCTCCGCGACGTGCACGCCTCTGGAGGGATTTGGAGAAGTTTCAACAAAAACTTCCAAAACACGCCATTTATAACACCATTCATAGCACTGACGGCTTCGATGTTCTCATCTATTTGCGGGAAATGGTCGACAGGGAAAACCCTACGTAATAACCGCACATCCTGTTAACAACAGATTTTCTGCAGTATATATTTCAAGCTAGTGAGGTTTAAAAATACACGTAGAATCTATCGATAAACTACCATAAGTTGGTTGAGTGTTGGCGGTAAAAAAAGAAGATATAACTTCCTGATCAATTTTCACTTAGGTTGTTTCAGTTTTGAATAAGCTTTGCAGATATGTATTTTTTCAAGAAATATTTAGCTTTAATATTATCCGACGCCGTCAGTAATGAAATGGGAATAATTTTCTGAAACGTGATTTTATTCGAGATTTGCTTCTGGAGAAGACAACCTTCTGTCCGTAGAGCATGAATATTAATACTCATCACAAGACAGTATCTTATTGATCTCAATTATGGTACATCTAAACGTGTATAATTTTTATGTTCAATAAAAATGTTGCATCACTTGCAGTTGTTATTATCATTCAATAATATTAAAATGACATAAAGTATTTATGATGAACAGTCCTAGAATATTTTGATAAGGAACCGTCAGTTGTAAAATGTTATTGTTATCTGATAATGAACAGTCGTCATACTTGCTGGTATGTCATTTATTATTGACAGTTTAGGTTTTTCAAAATTTGCATGATTAACAGTCCGAATGTAGACCTCAATAAAATGTTCTGGAATATTAACAAAATGAATAGTCAACCACATTAACCATATATATGAATGGTTGAACACAACAGTAAGGATAAATAGCACAATGTGCATATCTTTTTATTTTGGTAGCATATTTTAAGCAAAAAAGAAAAGAAACTATAAGTCTGAAACATTCTCTCATAGCCTCCCCATCAGTACATTCAGTGCTTTGATTAGAATAACTGTCTAGTTTTAAAATTGGGAAACCAGGTATTTAAAAATACTTCAGTTATAAATAGCTATAATCCGTATTGCCTATAAATAGAATGTAAACAAACCAATACGATTTAAATGACATATATAATGATATATGTTTTAGTACTTTGTTTGTCTTTTAAATTGTCTATGGATATGATGGTAATTGATATTTTAGTAGAAAACCTTCTCTGATTTGTTGTATCGCTTCCATACTTCTGATTATAATCAGAAGTCTCTGAAATAAATGTTCCCGCAGAAATACAGTATCTTGTTTTTTCTACTGGCTCAGAATTTCACGGACAAGTTCTCTTATAATCAGGGTAAATTTATTCATTTTAATTTTTTTTATATGAGCATTGTTTACAATAAAAAAGACCAAAAAATGTTAAAGCTAGAGAAATTGTTTTAAATATTTTTATTTATCTTTTAAATGAAACAAAACATGTATATAACGGAAGTATCAAAAGCAAATACAACATATTGTAAAGGTAACAGATGAAAAAATATAGTATCAAAAGCAATACATGTATATATATTTATAAAAGAACAATAATTATTAAATATCAAAGAAGTTCAACAATAAAACAGTAAATAAATGCAAATCATAAAAATCTTAACAAGTAAATGCCACATAAAGAACACAATCATGTACAAAGTTAATCTAATTTTACATCTAGATGCAATACCCTATACTAAAAAAAAGTCACAATATACAAATGTAAAAAAAAATGTAAAACAATGCAGTCAATGCTTTAAAAGTGTGATTATCAAATGGTAAATAAATTTTTGTGGTTGTCTTTTTGTCATATATACAGATTTCTTCATCATATAATTCATGAGTATTGTACAAATTTTATCATATAATATTTACAATTTAATTTATTGATTTTAAATATTTACATTCTTTATAAATATTTACAGTTTATTTATATTCACAGTTTAAATAAGTTTTGCCATTTATCACTGCAGCCACATAAAACTTTCTATTCATGAAAATCTTTAAATAGAAAACAAAAGTTTGTAATCTCAAATGCCCATTATAATCATACTGCTACAGATTTTCACTCTTCATACTTTTTACTGAAAAAGGTTATGAACCAAATATTTGTGAAAACACAAACACTAAGAGCGGGTGAGTATGCTCATAGTTAACAGGTTCCTTTGCATAAAAATTGGTAATTTTTGGTTAGTTATAGTTAATTGGTTTCCAGGAAAACCGGTAAGATGGGCCGGCCTCCATGTCATGACCATTATGTCTCTTTGGCGTAAAACCAAACAAACTAACAAATTGGTATTCATATCGCAGTTAGTTGCTTTTTATATCACAGTCATTTGGTTTATGTATCACAGTTCATTGGGTTTTTTCACAGTTCAATGGTTTTCAACTTTTTTGTACTACAGTCTCCTGGTTGTTGATCTATAAATTTACATAGTTCATTGTAGTTTTTGTTTTATTTTTTGTGTCACAGCAAACTGTCTGTTTATCATTATAACACAGTTCATTGGTTATTTTCTTTGTATCACAGCAAACTGTCTGTTTATCATTATAACACAGTTCATTGGTTATATTCTTTGTATCACAGTTAACTTGCTGTTTATCATTATCACACAGTTCATTGGTTATATTCTTTGTATCACAGCAAACTGTCTGTTTATCATTATAACACAGTTCATTGGTTATATTCTTTGTATCACAGTTAACTTGCTGTTTATCATTATAACACAGTTCATTGTGTTGTTTTGTTCGTATCACAGTCAACAAGCTGATAATCACAGTTAATTGGTGTTTATATCAACATAACACATACAGATGTTGAACAACCAATGATATCAATATTATTGATGCCAATTTTTTTCTGCTCCCGTTCCGAAAATGGTCTAAATTCCGTACACTATCAGTATCATCATTTGTCGGGCGTGTCTCAGACATCAAAACTGGCATTATTCTTCTTTAGAATTTGGTTTTCATTGGAAGTTCAATAGATTTTATTTCTACAGCTTGTATGCCAAGGTCATTGAAACATTGCATCTATGTGTCCGAAATGAATAAAATCTGAAAGTAAAATAGAAATCGATATTTATAAGTTACTGCAAGCATGGCTTTTAATATGGCACACAACAGAAACATTCAGATATTGTTGTAACATCCAATTATCCTAAATTCTGGTGATTATAATATGATACAATTATTATAATAATGTTGATGATTATCATGTATAATCCTGGTCCTGTTAGGTCTGAATGCCCTATAGCATCAAGTATTTTTACACTATTTTTCTTCTTTTTTTCTCTCTCTTTTTTTTTGAAATTAAGAATAAAATCATATAAATAAAGTTTTATAAAAACTATAAGATATAAATAATTATGCTTTTTTTAAAAGAAAATAAAGTATGTTTCTCAAATATGTTATAATTAATTTTATTATCAAATTACCTCTGTCAATGAACTGTAACGTCAAACATAATAATCCTCGCCTCTGTAATTCCTTGTCAGGTTTAAAAAGTTGATCTATTCATGGAAAAGTGTTTTTACATATTAAATATACCCCCATTGTAAAAGTCTTAAGTCTAACACCCAATGTCTTGTTCCTGGCGTACAGTTGTTTTTCTAAATTTAATGCCAAGATCTATTACAGAAGCATCCTCTGCAAAATCCTCTGCTACAAAACAAATATCCAAATTCTCTTTTGATTCTGACATAGATATGAATGTTTTTTTCGAAAGGGACACAGTTTTTGGTTCCATTTTGCAACGTAGATCAACAATCCTCTCTGAGTATGCAATATCTTCCAGAATTGGTTTCTCTTCTGCTGGCACATCTTTATTAGTACTGACAGTCACAGAGTCTTCTTCAGAACAAGACACATATCTGTTTATCTCTCTTGTTACACTCCACATCTTTCTTCAGTTTACTTGAGCAGAACGTATATGCATTGTTAAAGTAGAATAAAAAGAAACCAAAGATTTTATACGGTGTTAAACATAGGCAATGTGTACACATATATCCACAATCTATTTTAGTGTTTGTATTGTAACCTTTTTTTACGTACTCAAAAATCTGTATCGGAGTCTTGATACCCTTGCAGTCTTTCACATTCTTTTCAAACCAATCCGATCCTTCTCGGAGTGCTTTATACACAACCGACGCACAGTTTTGTTCGCGTACATCATATTTAGGATCGCTTGATTTAAATTTCTCCAACCATAATTTTACGTTGTTTATATCAAGTCCGAACACAGCCAAGGAAATTGGTATTTTGTTACCCCGAACTTCCTCTTCGAAAGTGCTGTACCATCTAGCTGGGCACTTGTTATCGTTTAAAATTTGACAACTTGTTGTTCCCTTTTCTGGCCAAAAACTGATATAAGTGCCATCATAAAGTTCTAATGAAATATGGCCAAAGCGTATAGCTGATGATGGTGTGAAGAAATGAAGAAATGAACGTTTATTCTCTGTGATATGATCCATCGTGTGTTTGAAATTGCATTTGTCGCACACGTTTATATATGCTAACTCTTGCTATTTATTTATAGCAGTACAGAATTTCCAAAGTAGCTCTACATTGTGTTTTCCAGATTTAGATATTTTTAGAAATCTTAACGGTTAAACCCCAAGGTCAGTAACTAGTATATGTACTTTTAAACCCCGGGAAAATTCAAACTCCAAAAAGGGGGTTATTTTCCCCTACCCATTTTAAAAGTAGCAAAGCGTAAACGTAAAAAGGGCTTTAAAAAATTTGAAAATCTCCAAATTTTTGTTATTTTTAAGGGCTATTTAAGAAATCTTTCTTTTTTGTGGAAAAATAAAAAAATTTTATTGAAATAGAATATTTTGAATAAACCTGCTTATAAAAAAAGTCAGTCGATGTTTTTTAAAAATCATTTGGGGAAAAATGGTTAAACCCCCGTGGGGGTTTCAAAAAAAAATAGATGGGGAAAATTTTTTTAGTGTTAAAAAAAGAAAAAATTTTTATAACATACCCCGGGAAATTGGAAAAATAGGGTCAAAGAGGGTTTTTCCCCAAAATAGAAAAATTTATCTTTTTTTCCCCAAATTTATTACTTTTTTCATCCCCTTTTAAATTTCACTGGGGTTAAAAAAAATAAATAAAATTTTCCGGCAAAATTTTGTTTGGAAAATAAAGGGGGAAAATTTTATACCGGAAAACCCATTTTTGTTATTATATATATATAAAAATATCCGGAAAAACCGTTTTAGTGTGGTGCTTTAAACTCACTCAAAATTTTACGCGACGGTTTTTTTAAAATTTGTAAAGCCAAAATTTTCCCCCCCTTTCAATTAAATTTTTATTTTATTATTATTATTATTATTAGATTATTATTATCATTATCAACCAGGTTTTCCGAAGGAAAAATCTGGTTATTAGATTGAGGTATGTCGGCGGGCGGACGGGCGGGCGTAAACAATTTCTTCTGTGCGCAACTCCTTCTACATTTCTCAACTGATTTTGACCAAACTTTCACAGAAGCTTTGTCATCAAGTGCCCTGGTGCATATTGTCAGGGTTTTGTGATTGGATAATATTTGATCTAATTATGGCCCTTTGTTTTTTCCCTTATAAAGAATATAATTATAGTGAACAATTTTTTTCTGTGTGCAACTTCTCCTAAATTTCTCAAAGGATTTTGTTCAAACTTTCACAGAAGCTTTGTCATCAAGTGTCCTGATGCATACTGTTGGGGTTTTGTGATTGGATAATTTTTGACCTAATTATGGCCCTTTGTTTTTCTTTTCTTATAAATACAGAATATATAGTGAACAATTTATTCTGTGCGCAACTCCTCCTACATTTCTCAAGGGATTTTGTTCAAACTTTCTCAGAAGCTTTGTCATCTAGTGCCCTGATGCATATTGTTGGGTTTTTGTGATTGGATTTTTTTTTACCTAATTATGGTCCATTGTTTTTTCCCTTATATAGAGTATATAGTGAACAATTTCTTCTGTTGCCCAACTGCTTCTACATTTCTCAAAGGATTTTGTTCAAATTTTCACAGATTAGCTTTATCTTCAAGTGCCCTGATGTGTATTGTCAGGGTTTTATGATTGGATAAGTTTTTACCTTTTACCTTATTATGGCCCTTTGTTTTTCCATAAAATTTAATTATTAGTGTAATATATCCTATTAATCACAACAAACTTTATTTAGTTATAAAACAGAAACTATCTAGGTTGTTGCATGCCTACCAGCTCATCTGCCTGCTTTTGGGTCCTGTAGAGTCAAGGTCAATGTCATTGTTGCTAAAAATAGAAAATCTGTTTCCAGTCAGGTCACTGTTACTAAAAATAGAAAATAGGTTTCCGGTCAATAACTAGTTTGGAATAAGATATTTTTATGAAATTTGTGGTAAAGCAAGTTTTTATGAAGACCTCACTTGGGATGGCTTTTTTGGCCTCCTAGGGTCAATGTTACAGTTACTAAAAATAGAAAATCATGATTTACATTGCACATAGTTACATTGTTTGTTGCTTGTATTTGTATTTCAACTACAACATATTTATCTACAATGGTGATAATTGAAAACCTGGTTTCGTGGCATTGCCATGTTTCTTGTTATAATTATTATTATTATTGTTATTTTTTTATTGTTATTGTAATTATCATTATCAATTCATTGTTATTGTAATTGTCATTATCATTGTTATTGTCATTGTTATTGTTAACTTATTGTCATTGTCATTATTATTATCATTATCATTATATTATTATTATTATTATTATATAATCAGAAAATTAGGAGTTTTAATAATAGCTATTAGTACGTGCGCAAGCAAAATGTATTACGTGACCACGCGATAGCTATTATGTACCTACGCAAGCAAGAGCCAACGCGATAGCTGTTAATACCTCCGCGCGCAAGCAAAAGCTATAACGTGGCCACGCGATAGTTATTATACGTACGTTCGCGAGCAAAAGGTGTTAAATGGCTACGCGATTGTTAAATACGTATGCACGTGTATGTTATGCACGTCGCCGATCGTAAAACTTGAGCTGTTCAAAATAACGTTACATATCGCTCAGTATTTAGAGTATTTCTCAGCCTCAACAGACGGTTAGGATTTAGTTGTACAACACTTATTAGTGTCAAACTTTATATGGCCTCATTAATATTCACTTTATTGCATATACTTAGAGATTGGGAAATATCATGCGTCATCGTTGGAAGTCTATACAGCAAGTATTAAGAAATAGAACATGTCCTATCCTGTAAATCTTTTCTTATGTTGTATGAAAATTCAAGAAATAGTAGACTCATTGTAAATGGACTCCTTCCACATGTAAACCTCAATTGACACACAGAAAAATAAAAAAAAGTGAACTGTTTTTTAAATGAGCAAATCAATAGGGATTTTAAATGTTAGTGATCTAATAACGAATTTGTATCAATTAATAATAATTAATTAATCAACATTATTTTTTGTCCAATCACATTGTAGTATTTTTGAAATTTCTGCTAAGTCTTAACTTTGGTTAATGTGTACTAACTAAATAAAATTTACTTAATCTGTTGTCTAACCAGTCTAATGCATTATATTAGGGAGGAGTTAGAGGTGTGATTTGCACTCTGAATTGTAAAATATCTAAGGTTATCAAAACAATGCCAACGTAAAAAACAATTAAGCGAGGTCAGGTGTTTCTAAATGTGAGGATACAATCAATTAATTTATTACATAGATAATACATGTTAGGCACGCAGAGACAAATGATTACATAGTAACTTTTTTATATCCTTTTAACTCTAAGAAAAATGTATGTTATAAATTGCTGACTGTTTTAAACTTCTTCTTTTTTCTAGAAAATGTTACCTCTTTCAGTTGATAGGATTATGAACTGCATTAACAATCCTTGATATTAAGAATACAATGATTACATTTTTGGCTGGAAAACTCATTGTAAATGGAAAACACAGAAAAACTGTTTTTCAAATGGGATTTTAAATGTTAGTGAATAACTTGAAGCTAATAACGAATTTGTATAAATTATTAATCTAATGTATTTTCTCACATTTTCCATTTATTTATCAAGGCTGTACACATTTCATTAACTCCATTGTTTTTCCTCGCTGTTTTTTCCCCAGATATTTTATAGAAACATGATAGTCTTACTGTAGATAAAGGTATAAATTCTGTGACATTTTGTATGGGTAAGAGTTCGTATTAAGACGACCGTAGGGAGTCTTATCGAACTCTTACCCATATAACTGCAAATCGGCTCTTACAACTCGATATCAGATAAAAATATAGAAAGTGTCACCTCTTTAATTAAGCATAACATTATTTTTCCCCAGCAGTCACGTACAAACAAGGATGGGGTCCAATTACTTAATCTCGCATGTAAAACAATGAGTTTTCAACAATACCTAGGATTGTTAATGCAATTCATTCCTGCCATATGAAACAAAATAATGTTTTGCTTACTTTTTCCAGAAAATATAAACAGTCAGCAATTAATAATCATTTTTCTTAGAGTTAAAAGGAGATCAAAAAGTTACTGTGTACTCATTTGTCTCTGCGAGCTGAGCTCCACGTGCATTATCTATGTAATAAATTTGAATATATCCTCACATTGCTACAGTGTTATCAGCCTTTTTAGAAACACTTGACCTGGCTAATTAAAATATGCCAATCACAATTTTCACTATCAGCACTGGTCTCTTCATGAAAAAGCGGCTACACTAATTACTGACGAGTAAGAGCCGATTTGCAGTTATAGTAAAAAATTTGCCTGATTATTTGTTGATAGGGCCATTTATTTAGCTTATCTAAATTTGACATGTTTGAAACTTGACAAGGTGTAGACATCTTGTAGAGCGAAAGGGCGGAGCTATCGGTGATTTAGTGAAATGCCTTGTTTTTGGTTGAAAAAATAATGTTGATCATTAAATAGGTTAATGTTTAATAATATGCATTAACAAAAAAAATTGGTCGCCTGCCTGCGGCAGGCTTGACCAATTATTTTTGTTAATGCATATTATTAAACACTAACCTATACATAATATCTAATGTATTTTGGATTTACATATTTCATTAACTCCATTATTTTTACCTAATTGCATCATTTTCCTCGCTGTTTTTTACCACATATTTCATTTCTGTGACATTTCAGCAAAAATGTGCCTGATTGTATGTTGAAAGGGCCAATTATTTAGCTTATCTAAATGTGACATTAGAAACTTGACAAGGTGTAGACATCTTGTAGAGCGAAAGGGCGGAGCTATTGGTGATTTAGAGAAATGCCTTGTTTTTGGTTGAAATAAATAATGTTGATCATTAAATAGGTTAATGTTTAATAATCGCCTGTGGCAGGCTTGACAAATTATTTTTGTTAATGCGTATTATTAAACACTAACCTATCCTTAGTGACACTTTCATCTATTAACCCGAGTCACATTCATGGAAAATGAATAATTACTCAATTTTGAAGTTTTTGTATAAGCGACATCATTAAAACTGACTATAGCGATGCGTAACATGGAATTCCTGTTATCTATTTTTAGGTTGTTTGCAATAGCTTAAGTTAAATTTCAAAATATTTGTTTGCGTGTTTTCTTCTCTGTTAATATACATGTATCTACTTATGCAGATTATTCAAAAATACAATTTCATCAGATTTTGTT